TCCTCAGATTCAGAATGGACCTTGAAACATGTGTCACACAAAAAAATAATATAGGAACAAAGGATTATCAAGGGTCCCTTCAGTCCTACCCCCCATTCCCATTTCATCAAGGGTTACACATAATCCCAAAGTGTCCTTGAAGCCTCTATTCCATGAACCCGCAGCTGCAGACTGCTCCCTAACACCCTACAGCAAACCCTAGGCCCAGAGCCATAACCGTAGCTGCTACAAGGAGAGAACAGGAGGAATCAAGGGCCCCATCACCACTGGTACATTTATTGCAGCTTTACATGGTTGCTAGCACATGTATAGCAAAACCAACTTCTCCTCATAATGTGGTGAACAAAAAATATTGGTCATGGGGAAAAAGCAAACAAAAAAGGACCGTGCAAAAGTCAGTCTAGATTTAGCAAATGTGTTTCTGACTGAATTTCCCCTCTCTTAGCTTGGATTGAAGTCCACACTGTTTATGAAATATTGCAGCATTATGGGAGGTGGAGGTCCATGGTGAGGGTGATGAAGAGAGGGCAGCCCTGTGGAAGTGATGGGCTCAACGGTCCCTTCCCCTCTCATTAGCTCAGGCTCAGCTGTTTCCCTGTTTCCAGACTGAAAGGAGAGCTGGGAGAGGGGACTTTTATTTCCCTGGGGACAGAGACATTGTCAATTATATGCCAGTCCCTGCTGCAAGCTGTCAGTGAATAGGGCAGAGAAAGAGTACTGATGGGATTTCACCTTATCCCTCGATTCTGCTGATGGGCTCATCATTCAACTGCCGTGCACTTAGCACGGGCAATACTAATTATATTACTTATGCTCCTACACAGCGCGTGCTTATATTATTAGCATTAAGCAGACTGGTGACTTTTTAAAATGAAACACCAGTGGTTCATTAGCTATATAGATTTAAAAATGGAAGCGTACTCATTGCATCCACTGCTGAGGTGGATCTCTTGGAGCTGAAAAGCATTTAATACCATTTTAGATGTGCAATATGCTTTATATTGAGAGCAAAATGCATACTGTATCTAGAAGACAGTAGCATTGTATTAGGTAACTACTAAATGCAGACTTAGAAACTTAGTCACTGCATTGGAGTAGCACCAAAATCCCCTTAGTAGTGTTCATCTGTAGGGATACTGGTCAGGCAACAAGAGATCTGGGTAAGTCCCTGTGGCCTGAGCCTTGTTGAAATTATACTAGTGACTACATCTATGTGTATAATCAGAATACAACTGTATTATTAAATTCAGAGGTAGATTTATTTAGTCGATAGCACAGAGGCCTGTGAATGGTTTAAAAGACAGGAAAATAAATCACCCTCTACAAAGTATATGACAACAAACCGTGACAAATACTCATCACTCGAAGTGTGTTTCCTAGATGTAGATATCATAAATAATCCATTGATGTGGTGCCCATATGCAGCCACTGTCTGTGAATCTGGGCTATGGGGCTGCTGCTGCTAGGCAGAGTCGGTACGATTTTGAGAGGTCAGTTGGAAGTATCTGAGACGTCAGCAATGTAAGTTTAAATCTCGAGAACAGTGTGTGTTTGTACAACGAGTCAAGCTCTAACCTAACAAACTGAAAAGTAACTGAACAGAACTGGGAGATTTCATCAGTTCTGATTCTGTTACCTCCTTTTATCACAGTTTTCTTCTGTACAGAAATGAAACATACATTAATCACCAAGATTACATATAATACATATAGAGAGAGCACAAGCCTATCTGACCTCTGAGTTCTGACCATTTTATGCAAAAGCAAAGCAAAAGTAGCTCCAGGCAGGTCTTCAATTTGCGTTTCAATTGCACTTCTTCCACATTTCCTTCTGATATCTTGAGGAAAGTCGTAGCTACTAAAGCATTACAAAGCCATCTGAGTGCTTGAGCAAAATAAATAAGTAAATCCTTTTTCCAAAAATTACTGGTTTTTTAAGTAAGTTTCCCCAAAGCAAAAGAAAACCTAAGCACTTCCACTATGTGTGCACATGGTCACACATGGACATAAAGATTTTGTTTAGAGCAAAACCCATTCATCTTTCATTCACATTAATACAGAAGATATTCATTGTGTGGAAGTTGTTAGCATTTTGACATGAGTTTTGAATCTAAAATAATTATGTTTTTATAGCCAATGTGGTCATGACTAGGACCCAACGTCAAGTTTGTTTTTATTCCTCTTATGTTTTGAGGAATGGCTGAAGTTTATGCAGTTAAACCTCCTCTGACTGTCAGTGTTGTTTAGCTTCTGCCCTCACAGGTCTCCAGATGCTGTCAGTGGGGGTGTTAATCAGGGCAAGTGCTGAACACTTGCAAGGCATTTTCTGCTCCTTGGCACTCTGGACCCAACTTCTAATGCAAATCCTTGTATGCAAATGGGAGCATACAGCACGCAGCGTAACCGTCTTAAGGTTATTTGCAAAACCAAAGGGAACTTGCTGTGCGGCCCCCCAGAGTACTGTGATCGGGTGGTTTCCACTTTGTCTCTTGGGAGCTGGTTCTCAGTGGGGTTTGAAGTGTTAGACGGCAGCTGGCATGGGTAGACGCTGTACCATCTACTGGGATGCAGGGTTTGACCCTGGAAGCTGCAAAGTGGCTTCTGCCAAGAGCTGGGTATCGGCAGGCCTGAGCAGAGCTCAGCCCTGCAGAGGTGTGCTGAGAGCCTTGGGGAGCTAGGGGTGAGTGTAGGGCCAAATTTGGGCTCTCATTGACTGAAGACTCAAGTATCTCCAGCTATGGCTGGAGCATGTTTATCCCTGTGCGAGTTAGCCGAAGCGAATCCTCACTGCAGTTTCTCCTGAGCCTTCAAGGAGCAGATGCTCCCGAACCCCTCCTGCTCCCACCCTCTCCCTTTCCCCCATCTCTCCTGGCCGTGGGTTTCTGCCCAGCATGGGTGCTCATGGCCCTGGTCTGGCCGAGAACAACTTCTGCGTCCCAAGGGTTTGTACTTGATGTGGTTAAACTGGCTCAGTCCTGAGCTGGCCACGCTGCATCCAGGCTCAGCTGGGGACATGAATGGTAGGGCACTGTTATCTGCTGGCCACAGCGGAGGAGAAAACTGGCCTTAATTGCAGCCCAGGTGGTATCTCTGAGGGCTGTCCAGACACAGGGGGCAGCCCTCCTTCCGAAACAGAAAGATGTACACTGTTTTGGTTGTGCAATAGAGAAAACTTCACATTACCAGTAGTGCTGGGACTGGAAGAAGTATTTCTGGCAGAGCTCTTGCAGAAATATTCCTGACAAAGCAGCTCCTCAGGCAATGCAGTCCTCTCCATGGAGAAGCAATAGCTCGCCATGACATCTACTGCCACCTCAGAGTATTTGCCCAGCTTAGCACTACAAATTAAATATAACTGGACGGCGCACAACGTTTCCCCACGTATTTGCTTTCTCCAGTGAGTGTTTGCCGTGCCGGCACCATGTAGCTCTGGTGCTTATCTTTAATAAATATGTTTGGTTGCTAAGGCTTACATTGCAAATCTGTGGCCTTCACAAGTGGCTGCTTTTTTGGGCGCTCGTGATCATTCCTCATCTGTGGGGATGAGAGGGTGGTTTAGACTCACTGTCACCCCCTCAGCCCCATAGGTCACGGTTTCACAGAGCATCAGCTCCGTCGCCTGCAGGCAGCTCCAGTCCCTGCCACGCCGTCCTGCCTTGGCACCAAACTCACCCCTCAGCCCAGCTGTTTGAGTGAAATGAACTGGGGGCATGGGGCATGCCAGGTCCAGCTTTTAAAATAAATGGGGAAAAAAGTATTAAAAAAATCCCTTTTTCATTTTTTGTCAGGTTATTTTTAAGCTGGCCTAGTTTCTCAGTCCGCTTCGCAGCACAGCGGTGTTAGCAGCCGTGCTGGCACCCCGGGAAGGAAGGAGGCGGTGAGAGGACAGGTCCTGCGGGGTGGGGGAGCTGGTCCCTGGCAGCATCCGCTGACCAGTGCCCTCTTCTCCAGCATCCCGCTTCCCCTCCCGCTCCCTGCCCTGCTCTCTGGTCTCAGCTGGCCGTGATACTCAGATGGCTCGGTGAGGCTATTCACCTCGCCAGAGCAGCACAAAACCAAGGCCGCGGAAAAATCTGCTTTGTTGTCTGCCGAGGGCAGCAAGTGCTGGGCGCGAGACAAGTAAAACAGCTGATCAAAGAAGAAAGGAAGAAAGAAGTGTCCCCCTTTCCGCTCATGGCAGCAGCAAGCTGATGGAGCTGTTGTGAACCACGGCACTTGTTCGCTATTTCTTTGTGGGTGGGTTGAAATCATCTTAGTTGGGTGCAGATGCCGAGCTGAGCATTGAAAATGAGCACACAGGCAGAGCAAGGGCTTCTTCCCGGGGTGCTGAGGCCACCCCTGGACACATGAAATGCACAGCATATGGTGCCTGGAGCTTGTTTACTCATCTCTTGTCATGGTGGGGAGCATCCCTCTCTCATCACGGCATGCCGTGGCTGCACGTACACCCACCGCATCTCCTTCTCAGCAGCCAGGTGGGAACAGCCATGGGGAAAACGAGCAAGGATCAAAGGGGAGCTGCAGAACTTGATTCATGAACCCTCTTTTTTTTATTTTATTATACATAATAACACTCTGCGGTCATGGTGAGTGCCCCCTAAGAGCTTTGCACACTCCCAAAATAATCTCCGGGGCACCCTGATGTAGCAGATGGGGACACCAGGGCTGGGGGAGAAGCATGCCAGGCATGGCAGAAATCAGGGATGGCATTGGGATTATCATGCTGAAGCATCTGGTTTCTAGTCCCACATCCAGACCCTCTGTGTCTCTGGCACATTTTCAGTAGACCCTGGGCCATAAGTCAGAAGTGAAAATAGGGCCATTTTATTTTTGAGGCGGGACAATTTGGCAACACAAACAGATTCATGCCCTGGCTCGCGGCCCCTCATGGGGTTCAGTTGCCCCTTACCATGACTGACGGACACCAGACAGTCCCTGCCTCACCGCTTGTCTCTTACCCTCCATCATCACTGACCTGCTTTCTGTTGTTTTTCAGGAATATCTTACAGGCTCCCTGAAATCATGTCAATAGGATCACATTCATTCTCTCCAGGAGGTCCTAATGGGATTATTAGAAGCCAGTCCTTTGCTGGCTTCAGCGGGCTTCAGGAGAGACGCTCCAGGCAAGTGCTGTGCTCTCTAATGGGAATTTCCAAACCAGACCCTAAGGGAGCCCTGGGCTTTAGGGGGTGAAGGTGGAAAAGAGGCGAGAGAGGACTGCCTTTTCTCTGACTTGTCAAAGAAAGCTTTCTGGGCTAAAATCTCTCTATGTATTGTTTGTATAACTAAGCTGTTACCCTCTGCCTTAGCTACCAAGTGCCTGTTTGCCTCTCCCCCATTAATGCAGGGCTTCCTCACATGCTTCAGAGCTGTGAGAGAATTTCAGAGAATCATTTTAATTTACTAACTTATGCAGTGATCTTTTCAACATGTGAAATGTGCAGGAACATGTTACACTTCCCACCGCCCCCAGTTTAAGACTGTTGCTACCTAAAAGACAGTTTTCTCACTGCCACGCTGCTATGAATTCAAAACAACTCTGTTTCCCTTGCAGGGCTGCCTTCATGTCCTGCTGGAGACAGGGCAGAGCTTGGCTGCAGAGCCTTTCCTTGCACAGCCCTTTAGCTAGGCAGGACTGAGGGCTTTGAGTCAGGCACTTACCAAGTCATCCAGTCCCTGATGCCCCCAGAGGCTACGTTACAATTAATTTTAACTTGTGTAAAGTCTCCAAGTACCAGACCACCAGATGACAATCGAGGAGGAACGGCAGGCAAAGGGTCGCCTTCCATCATCAGCTCAAGTCAGTGATGGTTGTGAGATGCTGACCTACCCCCAGCAGAGCCACCAAAGAGGCACCTGTATGCAGCACAACCATCCTCCCTTTGCCATACAGAGCTACCTATGGTCCCTGCTCAAGACCAGCAGCGTGATGCTGTCCTCCTGACATGCTCTTAACCGAGCCCCAGTCTTCCTTAGGAACCCCCAGGCTTTATGCCTGAGATTAGCTGGGCTCCCCTTTGTTTTTAGCACCTGGATGTGGCTCAGCCCTTTCATGGCTGTGGCTGAGCAACATGAGGCAGGGCAGGCATGGTACATAAGACAGAGAAACGTCTGATGAACCTCAGACTCAGCCCGGTGTTTCCAGACCAGCATTCGTATCTCGGCAAGGCAGCTGGCACATCAAAAGCTGACAGCGCATGTCCCAGGCTGCTCAGACCTCTTAACCTGTAAACAAACGCAGTCCTTTAACGGGCAGGCACAGAAGCAGATTCGTTTCTGCTAGCAAAGATAATATCAGAAGATTTCTTCAAGCTACAAGCTATGCTCCTTTGAGATCATTGTGATTTATAGGGGTTTCCTCTCTTTAATGTTCATTTTGCAGGTGTAACTCCTTTATTGAAAATTCCTCTGCCCTCAAGAAGCCCCAAGCAAAGGTGAAGAAAACGCATAATTTGGGCCATAAGAACAGCACCACGCCCAAAGAGCCCCAGCCTAAAAGGATGGAAGAGGTTTACCGAGCCCTGAAGAGTGGCCTGGAGTAAGAGCCTTTATCCTGCTTGCTGATTGAAGCTTTCTGTGACATTTTAGAGCCTAGAGAAACATCTCTCACAGGAACAGGGATCCTTAATGATTGGAGAGGAAAATATACCTCTTGGAACCTGGATTGTAACACCTAGGATCTGAAATATTTGTACAGGAAACAGGGCAGAATCTCATTTCCATTCAGATTGCTAGGAAAGCTCCCAAAGTCTGGGATTTCAACATCAGATTTTTTTTTTCCTCTGAATTTCCTAGTGTTCTGTCATCGCCCTTAAGATAACGTCGCAGACGATAATGGGCTTTTACCAGCCAGATACAGGAGCAGCGATTGGAAGGCACCAGCCCCCAAACTAAGCAGCAGATTAGCTTCCTTGAAACTGGTTGTTCAGTGTAAGGAGAACACCGAGCTGTTACACACAGCTAAATAAGTGGTTCCTATTTATTCCCCAAAAGGCAGCAGGGAGCTGCTTTTAGGACAGATCAATGTAAATGACTGTTTGTCTGAAAACAGATCCAATGAGGAAAGCCATTTGTTGTCCAGATTTTCTTTTAGGATGGTCAGCAGCCAGCTCGGTATGTGCTACTGAGCTCATGCATCCCTTCTCTGGTTTGTGTTTACAGCGAGTATCTGGAAGTTCACCAGACAGAGCTGGATAAGTTGACTGCTCAGTTAAAAGACATGAAAAGAAACTCACGCCTGGTACGTGTCACACTTTATCATCGTGCAGATGCACAGTAACCTTCTCGAGGTGCAGGGGCAGCCACGGGGTGGGAGCGGGATGCAGGGAATTGGCATAGATGCTCTTCTTCCCTTCCAGCCCTGGTCCTGTTTATGATTTCTATTGACTGACACACATTACTTTCTCGTGGTGCTGTTATGTTGCAAAATTAATCACAGTTTTATCTTCTCTGTTGCAGGGAGTCCTGTATGATTTAGATAAGGTACGTTACCTCCTTTGACACTGGTTTTGGAAGGAAGCGTTAGTATCCGTATGGTGTACGTAGCTGGCATGGGAAACCTCTCTCAGCCGGATCTACTACCCAGGCCAACACCATCGAGGGAGAAGTTACCTGACAATTTGCACTTGCAAAGGAAGAAGTCCTGCTCCCCTCCTCTTCCCAGGGGCTCTGGTATTGCCCAGCGCCTCCGCCAGCCAGCTGTGCTCACTAACCCGGCATCAGACGTACCCCATCAGCCCTTCCCCAGGGGCTGTTGAGTTAAACTGGCTCTGGGACAGGCACAGGGAAGGAGGCAGACCCCTGCCAGGGGTGGAGGGAGGCGGAGGAGGGAGACCTCCTATTTCTGTCAGCTGCCAGCCGGTGAATCCATCGCCTTGTGCGACGTCGCCCTGCCAGCTCCAGGCGGGTGGCAGGCTGGCAGGGGCACGCTGGGGGTGGCTGTGGGAGCCAGGTCAAACCCCAGCTCATCCCTGCTCCTGCCGGTTCTGGGGAAGAAAAAATTGAAAATATTTTTCCCTGCAGGAAAATTTGGGTGAAAGAAAAGGAAAGCTTTCAAAAACGTTTCCTGAACAAGTCTGGCTTTTTTTCAGTCAAAATGCCAAGCTTGGTTTTGCTTTCAAAAACAGTTTGCTGAGGAAGAGAATGGATTTTGAAATGCAAAACCCCATCAATTTTAATAGGGGTTTTCAGAGTACTGGGAGTACTATATTGTGAAATAAAAAAGCTCAGATCCTTTTTTTTTCCTTAAGAATTCAAAAAACCAGAGAAATCCCATCAAAGCAAAACTTTTTTTTGTTCAAAAATACATTAGGTACAGAAGTCAGTGAGCTCCATTGTCAGCAGCAGATTAATGGTAGTAAGGTGGGACAGCTAACTCCAGATTCACGGGCAACAAAACCCTGCATGTTTTAAGGAGGAGGTTCTCAGCCTCATGGGGACCTGAAGACCCGAGCAGAGCTAGCGTGGTGATGACTTACTGATTTATTTAAATCTGCCTCACCCTCTGCCTCTTGCTTTCCTTCAGCAAATCAAAGCGGTTGAAAGATACATGAGAAGGCTGGAGTTCCACATTAGCAAGGTAATGAGTGCTCCTATCATCTTTCTTCTGCATCTGCTCCTATGTTATTAGGAAAACAAACCCTTGGCCTCCTGCTACCCCTCCACTCTGGGGAGGCCGCCTTGATGAAGCCTCTCCCAGATTCAGTATTTTTACTGCGATGGGCTGGTGTTGGAGCCAAAGAAAGGGTTTCCATGTGTTTTGTAGCGCCTGAGGTCCAGCTGTGCCACAAGACACTCCCGCCTGGCTTTTAGGTACAGAGAGAACACAGGGTCAGGCGCTTGCTGGGAAACATCTATCTCATTGCATGCTTATTGTTAAACTATAGGTAGAGAGAGAGTTGCATCTGAAAGTAATTTAATTCGGCAGTTGTCTCTGCTGTATGCAGCAGCTAGATTGGATCTGTTCCTGGATTTCACTGCTAACGCTTCTGCTGCGCGGTTTGGGGCCCACATCCACTTGATTACATTGGTGAGAATAGTCAGTAGAGGTACTTGTGATTTATACTAATACATTTTAGAGCTGGACAAAATCCATGGCATGTATTCTCTTACTTATAAACATATCTGCTAGCGATTAGTTGCTTTTCTGAGCCTCACAAAAGAATGAATTATTTTTGACGGATGAAATGTCTTTTGAGTGTCATTTGAAAAGCGTTCACGCAGCTTGAACTGCTCCAATTATGACAACCCATCCAAACCTTTTAATTTCAGTCTTCTCTTACTCTTGGAGCTGAAAAAAGAAATATAAATCATCAGGCGATAGACTGAAATTTTGTTCCCCAAACGACCTCCTCTCTTGCTGGCAACATGAATGGCAAAATTAGTGCTTAAAGAACATTTCCATTCAAGTCCTTCCCACTCCATCCTGCTCAGAGCTAATGGTTTCAGGGCTTATAATAGGACTGAAAAGCACCGAACACAAGAGGTAATGCTGGTCAGTATTACTCAAGCTTGCAGAGTACATTAGTTCATTTTCCGTAACCCACAGCAACAGAGACAAAAGGAACCGAGCTGTGCTGCATTAAAAGGTACGGGCTTGGGCAGGTAAAGAAACATCTTTGTTTCCCATGATAGAGAACGTCTTTTTCAGCTGTAGCAAATCAGGGCTGTAGCGATGCCTTCTGCCGACTACCCGCCGGTGCTCTGTAGAGGAAGCAGAGCAAGGAAAATAAGACACGCAGCAGCAGACCCCACGTATTTAGGAGGGCAGATGAGTGTGCCCTAGCCGCGCTCGCATGGGCAGGGGCAGGACATCAACCCTGGGCTAACGCTCCACCCGGATGGCAGAAGTAAATACCAAGTGACAGCTATTTATAGTAGCTGTCTTTAGCTTGCTGACTTGCAAGAGAAATAGGAGTGGATATGACTCCAAGAAGCTTTTTTTGTAACTTTGAAATGGCAAAATGCTACCTGTGCCTCCATTACCCTTTGCTGAACTCTCTCACTTTGCAAAGCAGTCCCTGTTTTGGTTAGGGATCCCTCAAGTCAGAGGCTTCGGCCACTGGGTATCCAAGCTGGCCTTGTAAAAGTCAGCCTAACTCTTTGAAGCTGTCAGGAAGAACAGTCCAGCTCCAGGCAAATAAGCAACAGCAAGCATTTTGTTAGAGGTTAAGCAGGCTTGGAAAATGGGATTTGGAACACACCTGGATTGTCACATCAGGCTCATCTCTAATGCAGCAACACAAAGCTGTAGATTGAGGAAGCCAAGGTGCTGGAAGCTTTCATAGAGAGAAACTCTGCTGTGAAAATCCACTACTGAGCAATAAGCACCATGGGGCACAGGGTGATGGCTTGATGTCAGAGATGATAACAAAGGAAAAAATTTATTCTAGGTAAAAAACAAATATCGTTGTATCTTAGCAAGGACTTTAGAAGCAGAACGAAGAGACCGCTTCCTCTATTCCTTTCCTTCTCCTCACCCTGATAAAGTCAGATTAGAAAACCTACATCTCCTGTATCTGGCAGATTAAGTTTATGTAAATATATACCACTATATATAGCTGGTATATATACATAAATATACGCACCAGCTATACCACTGTAGACTCCCACCAAACAGCTCAGATGGAGTAAATGTATGCATTCAGTGCGGGGATCAGAGGGAAAAGGGAAACCAAAGCATGAGACACACGTAAACCCGTTGCACTCTGAAGCTAGATCCGGGTGAGACTTTAAACTGTGTGTGAGTAGGTTTTGCAAAACTGCCAGAGTGCTTACGAAATGTTGGGTGCCTGAGTAGCGCTGAAGGACTTTAAGAAGATGACTAGGAAATTATGTGAACACCTGTGGAGCTGGAGTTCAAAACTCTCTTAATTTGACATCAGCTGTTTCTAAGTCCTTTACTTGTGCTGATTCTGACTATGACTCCCAGTTTCTGGAGGACGGGCAGTGAGAATTAAAAAAAAATCACTCCCTGCTTCCAATATTACCTATTAGTCAAATATTGCAACAGCCTTGATCCACAACTGGCATTAGCCATACAGGAGATATTGCTGGCCCTGTTAAATGTGCCATTTATGGCCAGTCCCCTTTGGCAGTGTGGATGTTGCAGTTGCCTTTGAAAGAGCTCTTCCACACCGATGTATTTGACAAGCTTGCTGCGTGCCTGCCCTACCGTTATGATTGTATGTAGCCCGGACAGGGGGGAAAGGGAGTAGCAATGGTTAAAAACATGCAGGGCAGGCAGGTGAATTGCTGGCGGCATCTGGTGTTGCTGTCATGAGATTTTTACAGTGCAAGTTATTTTTAGCTTGTGTTTCTTTTTCATAGACTGTAACAGTATCGCAGCTTCATTTGCTCACCCCTTCCAATGGATCTAACAGTTTGGCTTAGTTTTCTTGTAATGCAAATGACTTCATTGTTTGTTAGTTTTATTTCGTTGGGTTTTCTCAGGTTTTTTTCAATGCACCCTCATTGTTCCCACTAGGTGGATGAGCTTTATGAAGCCTATTGTATCCAAAGACGTCTCTGTGATGGTGCCAGCAAAATGAAGCAAGCCTTTGCAACATCTCCTGCCAGCAAAGCAGCTCGAGAGAGTTTAACCGAAATCAACAGGAGTTACAAGGAGTACACAGAGGTACATCCTCATCAGTTTAGTCTTTCGCTCTCACACTGTTTGAAGGCCATGGGAACTTTGCCACTGATTTCAGGGAGAACTTCATCCAAGTAAAAGAATTAAAAGCAAACTCAGCAAAGAAGAATTATTATTTATTTGTTTGTCTTCAGGTGAATACCTGATGACTTACAAAGACAGGTTACATGGGCCCAAAGAGTTCCTTGAAATAATGTTTATGTTCGACAAGAGCAGGGTTATACCCAGGAACTGCTGCACATGAAAAAAGCCTAAATCTGCCCCAAACCTATATGTATTCTAACTATGTCTTTCCTACCCTGCAGATTTTGGGATGGTAGGTTGGCTGGAACCCATATGTCTACAGACATCTGCTGCACCCTATCCAGTTTTACGTGCTGTGATCAGCATCTATGTTATTAAACAGGCAGTAGATGAAGAAAGGTCTAATAGTGTTGCAAACATCCCAGCACACAAGCTGTGATGGCCTTCTGAAATCTGAAGGAAGAACTAGAGAGGGTCTGGTACCTGTCTCCCACAGTCTTTTTTTTCTTAACGTAGTCCATGTTTCTTGAGAGATGGAAAACATACTGGGAGCCGCTTTGGCATGGAGCTGCTGCTGGCACATGTCCCGACTGGAGAGGACTGGGACAGTGACCAGGTTATGCTTCAAGGGCCACAACTGCCCTCTGCCAACAGGAGGATTAGAGCACAAAGAAGAAGAGCACGGGGTTACATTCAGCTTCGGTGCGAGCAGGCATAGCTCAGCTGCCGTTTTTAGGGCCAGACCTAGCTAAACAGCAAGGATGGCTCTGGCAGATTGATTTCATTGCAAAATATCTTTCATCTGCATAACAGAATCTTTCCTTCCAAATAGACCTTAAAAAAAAAAAAAAAAAAAAAAAAAAAAAAAAAAAAAGGCAAAAAGAGGGTTTTTCTGACCCCCCTTTTCTTTTTTCCCACAGTGCTAGCTTAATTCCATTACAGTACTACCCAGATCCCTTTTGCAACCTGGCTGTTAAAAAAAACCTAAAAAAAAAAAAAAAAAAAAGAAAGAAAAGAAAAAAGAAAGGCAGAAAGAGAGTTTGTCTGACCTCACTGTTCTCTTTTCCGACACAGAACATGTGTACCATAGAAGCAGAGCTGGAAAACCTATTGGGGGAGTTTTGCATCAAGATGAAAGGTAATTGCCTTTTCACCTTGCTCTTCTTTCTCCTGAACAGCAGCAGTTGCTGCACACCTTAGTGAGGGCATTGAGACATGCTAGCGTGACGTGTATTTATGATAGGTGTGGGTTTCCCCTACCACACCCATTGCTGAGCCTTCAAACCCCCAACTTACACCCCTGCCCAGTGGAAACGATCACAGAGCCAGGAACATCAAAGCTTACAGAGAGACTTTCTGAGATACTGCTTCTTGTTTTCAAGGCTAATTACCTCCCTCAAACGCTCCTCCCAACAGCCAAAGCAATTCCATTTCGAAGGCTGCTGTACCTTTTGCCTCTATGACCATAATCCTTTAAGAAGATGACTGGGAAATTATGTGAATGCCCACGGAGCTGAAGTTCAAAATACTTTCTTAATTTGACATTAGCCTTTTCCAATTCCTTTACTTTTGCTGATTCTGACTGCTACTATGTTTGAACAAATGTAAAAAAGCAAAGAGCTGGGGGTAGTTTACCATTTAAACACCTAGATAACGCAGTGGTGGCATTCACCTTTCCATTTTATTCCTTGTCTTTATGACAGGGAACTTTATGGGTTTGAATACAATGGAATCAATTTTACCTGAAGCCTCAGTGAATCACCAGGCATTGCAAATACTGTTATCCCTTTAAGACTCAATGTCTTAAAGAAGAGATTGTGGGGGGATATCTTTTTTGGATCTTCAATCACTGGCATGAAAATAGTTCTATAAAACAAAATCAGCATCTGAATATTCATGCACTCTTAAGTCTTCACTTGAAATCTTGCCATTTAAAAAATCCACAGTATTGCTGGTGGGGTTTTTAGAGCTCACAAATCTCATACAGGGTTTGGAGTCTGCCTGCCTGTGAGTTAGTTGTGTCCCGTGGTGGCACTGCATAAGGCATGATCTATCTTAGATTAAGTTAAAATAGTTACTCCATGCTCCCATATTAGAGAAAACAAGTGCAGCAGCTGTTAGGGTTCACCTAGCTGCATCCCATAGCACCAAACCTCAGGTTTTGAAGCCCCCACTCTTCAGTACTGGAAAGGCAGCCCAAGATGCATAGATGTAAAGTTACAAGATGGACACACAGAGCCTGAGCCAGATATTTCTATACAAAAACCCACAGCAGAACCACAGCGTGGACATGCTGAAGGAAACACGAGGTCATGCAGTGTAGAAAGGGAATTGCATCAGGCCAGGTCCCTCGAAGTGTTTCCTTACTTGCTGTAAATGCAGTGCAATGTACAGTTCCTGACAGCAGGACATGTTGCAAAGGTGTCCGGGCATCACAAATGACTGGGCTGAAAAGGTCTGGCCCCTTCTTTTTTGTATGCCCAAATCCTCCAGCAAAGCTCAAGGACTGGAGGAGCCAGGTGCGGCACTCACATGTGGGAGCAGAGCACAAACCCCAAACAAAAGCTACTTCTGAACACAGTTCTCATAACGTAAAGAAGCCCAAATTAGAAAATTGCTAAGAGAAATGGTGTATCATTAAGTATTCTCTAATTAGGACAGCTAAGATTTCTATCGAGATAGTTTTCCCTAGGAATAGGAATCCAATAGGACAATCCAGCCATTGCTATTGCTAAAGCTCACAACAGCTCTAGCACAAAAGCCTACAGATACATGCAGCAAGCTTCCCTCTTATGTTATACTGCAGCATATCCAGCTAACTTTAGGATCTAATTTAAAATCAAAGCATTCTTCTCCCCAAAGCTTATCTGTTCCTAGCCATTCCAGTGAAAGTTATTTTTATTTTGTGCCCTCTGTCACTTACACTGAAAGCAAGCCAACCTACACAGTGCTGTCAGGAAGCAGGGGACCCACACTGTGCTTTTATGACTGATATTTTTAAAAAAAAAAAAAAACCTAATCATTTTTCAAAATAAAGATAATAAACTTGCCAGCAGGCTTTGATTACTGCTCAGGATTAATCAGCTGTTGAAATGAAACAGGGAAACCCAGTGTGGAAATTTAGGAGTCCCTGTATGGAATCTGCATGTCCTCTTATGATGTATAGGGAAGTGCCCCTATACCTGTTGGAAGTGCCAGGACAGCAGGAGGTAAAATGCTCAGCTGTTTCACCTGGGGAGAGCGATAGGCTGACCTGACGTACCAGGGGCTCTGCAACATGGAGCCCAGCACCAGCAATCACCATCCACGTGTCCAGCATCCTGCACCCGAGCAGAGGTGTACATGTTGCATGAACTTCAGGTGGCCCTCCCAGTGAAGAACGCTAGTGTCCTGCCACCTTACCACAGCCACGCAATGACCCTATCCCCTAATTACTTACGCTGACACCCCAGGAGCAACCTCCCATCTGACCTGCTTTACAAGCCCAGGACAGTGCTTTTACAAAGGCGTGACATTTGAAATGGCATGATAGAGCCATTGGCTGCTGCCATACATTTAGTCCCTGAGAGCCATTCAGTTACCAAAAAGTTGTTTCCTCTGGAAGTACCTATCCCCTGTAATCAAGTCAGCACTTAGCCCCCTCTTCATCAGGCTGAAGAGGCTGGACCAGTGCCTACCACTGCAGGAGCTCCGTTCCAGCTTCACCTCTCCGTGTTGCTGCTTCCTTCCGTGTCCCTTGGCCCAAAGCGGTGCCTGCTTGGGCCAGTAGCTGCTCACAGCACTCGACTCCGGACAAGGTCCGTGTGGCGTTTTAAGCCGTGTTCCCCCTCCCACCCCATCCACTGAGCGAAGAAAGGACCTTTTATTTTCCTCAGATACTTTCAGAGATGTCCCAGCAGAGATCAAATTCACTTATAAAAGCGTGCCTGGGGAGAGAGAAGCAGCAGCGGAGTGCTAGTAAGCTTAAATTATTTATAAACAGTAAATAAATTAGAAAGGAAATGGTAATATGAGCTCTGCGCAAGGACCTCTCTGTTCTGCTAAACAGTAAGATGAGTGAAGAAAATGCTTTTCTGGTCAAAGAAATGGAAGAGGAGGATCAGCAGATCACAGGGACAGGCCATGACTGCATGCAGGGGCCTCGTTGCTCCTACAGTCCAGCTAGCAGAACTAATTCAGCCCAGTAGATAAAGCCAACATTAGGGTTTGTCTTACTTGCCTTGATTTTAACACACCCATGTATGTTCAACCACGGCATTTTAGGATAAATGCAGCCCAAAGACCCTGGAAAGTTTGTTTTCATCCCTTTCTCTGCCGCAGGCTTTGTATGTGTCCTCAGACTGGTTTCTTTGGGCGTTGCAACACTAGAGGCATAGTTTTAGGCTTACCCAGGCAAAGCTGAGTAAATTTTTGTACCAAAACAAGTGCAATAGCTAACTACTGAGGAGATCTGTGAGAAAGGGGAGGTTCCCTCTGTGGAAGCAGAGGGCTAGATTAGTGAAAACCAACCAGTTGCATCCAGTAGAAGAAGAGATCACAAGGCCAGGAGAGGGATGGTAATGTTCTTGGGATTTCAGGATGGTCACAAGCGTCAGGAAACTTTCCATTTCATATGCACGGTGCCAATATAGAAATAGCATCATCAATTTAAAAAAAAAAGAAAATCAAGCCAACATATACCACAAGTGCTTTGCTGCACTACTTCTCCCCCTCTGGGGAAAGATGGGATAAATCTCATATTACAGGTGTCAAGTCTTTTTCCTTGATGCACTTACTAGGATTGTATGGGAGCGATAATGTTATGGAAACGCCAAACAGAAGGAGCCCCTCCTGTGTTTCTATTAAGATGTACTAAAAAGGAATCTGTGTTAAAATGTGTAGCTTGGTCTGATTAGTGTTAAGCAGCAAGAACTACATGATAATCAGCAGCTCGCCTACACATCATGATAGTGAGGGTGCTAAGCACGGTTTCTGAAGCCAGATGACGTCAGGAAGCTGTTTCTTCTTTTTCTATAATTATTATAGAGTAATTCGTGCTGTTGTGGCAAAAAAAGCTAGAAAGTTCAAATCTTTGATATGCTGGAAACCACAACCCACCTAATTGTATACAAAAAAAAAAAGAAATGAAAGAGAAAGAAAATTAATATTGAAGGGGGGGGGGGCAGCTGCCCAGGCCCTCCCACAGCCCCTCTGTTTCTTTCCTTCTCAGGTCTGGCTGGCTTCGCTCGGCTCTGCCCAGGAGATCAATATGAGGTATGTCTGGGTTGGTTTATGGTTTGTTTAATAGCAAAAGAATCAAAAGGAAGGCAGATTTCTGCTGCTTTTTACATTGCAATGAATAAAGCCTTTTCACATCAGCACCCCAAGAAACAGCTATTATTTTTCCTGTATATGCTCTGAAAAACCTTGAAGTTCTCTTTATGTCTGCCTATGTCAGGGCATCTGTCAGAAGCTGCCAGAAGACCTGAAAATTATATTCAGAGCACTGGATGATATCTATTGACAGAACTACAAGCTATTTTTTTTATTATTTTAAAAATTTAAATTAAAAAAAAACCCACAAGCAAAACCCCCTTATTTTTAAGTGTCTCCTAGAATGAGGGCATGCTTCTCCCTGTCTTATTCGTGAAAAACATTTCTAATTCCCCTAGAAAAAAGCATATGTCCCATCCCATGCATGCAGAGCAAGTCAAAGAAGTCCTTGAGAGCATCCTTTACGGAATGTTTAGACTTTACATCATCATAAAGCAGAGTAGCAGAAAGGCACAGGATAACCATTTCTTGAGACCCAGATGTTACCTGCTGTAAGGCTGTGTCTGGATCTCCAGTCACTGTGGTCTGCCAGTGGAGAACATCAAGAGCAGGTTAATTGGAGATGGATTAAAATAAAAGCCTCCAGCTCTATCCAGAACAGAGCTAACCCTCCAAGAAATTCACAGTGATAACGGATCCCCCCAACCTGTGCTTCCCAGCTGTCTTGATCATCAATTCATTTGTTCCCACTCTCATTCCCTGTGACAAATCTCTTCTGCTGCTTTCACACCTGCAAGCAGCGTATGCTTCCTCTGCGGGGGCGATGCAGGTCTCTCCTAGCCGGCCCTGCAGCCCAAAATGGGCTTGCTGCTCTTACCACTTCAAATTGTGTTACTGCACTGTGGGTCTCATTCATTTCCATCACCGGCCAGCCAAAGTCTTGCAGCTGGGGAGGCCTCTGATGGGAGATGGCCAAAAGCTCACCTACCCTCTTCCCTGCCTGGGAAGGCAGCAGAGCCAGCAAGCTGTAGGTGTTAGGAAAGGCCATGGGGGCTTTCATCCTGCCCTCCCAACTCTTTCCCCTGCCCCCCACTGCCGCTTTCCCTGTAATTAGAGTTAAAACTCCTGCAGCTTCTTTGTTATGAGTCATCCAGTTATCTGAAGGCGAAAGCTGGGGTGAGGGGTGCCTTACCAAAAGGAGCGATGAGGAGAGCAGAGAGGCAGAGATCCTGCAGGACAGACCTTTTCCTTCTGGAAGCAGAAGGGCAGCACCTACACCACTAACTCTTCCAACCTACTTCAGACCCTGTCCCCAATTCTGTTTCTAATATTTGTGCATCAAGAGAGCAGACTTCTCAAGAAAATAAGAGGATTTTTCTTTTTCAGATTTTCATGCGTTATGGTCGCCAGCGATGGAAACTGAAAGGCAAAATAGAAATGAATGGCAAGCAAAGCTGGGACGGAGAAGAAATGGTTTTCCTCCCTCTCATTGTTGGACTGATCTCCATTAAGGTATGCATGCTAACTCCTTTGCCTGCAAGCAAGGCAGGAGTCAAGAAGCTGCCTTCTCATGCACCATCAGCAAAAACGCAGCAGCAGATCATTAAACTCTTTGGAAATGAGCCATCATTAGTATTTCCAACACACCTACTAGAATGAAGTGCTATAGTATTGTCCAGTCTAGATGCTACAAGACTGTAATCAGTTTGGGAGTCCTGTGGGAGCGGTTGTCCTAACTCTCCCCAGACTGGCGGCATAGCCATACGAACACGACCCTTGCCTCACATCGCTCTCCAGCAACTCAGATGATTTGCACCAAAGCAAGGGAATGGTAGACACCTGTTTGCTAACAGTATTCAGGAAAACAACAGCAATGAAAAACCCCAAACCAAAAAATCACATTACTGATGAGTAATAAGAGAGATAAGAGAGCAGCATCTGCTGATCTGGAGAAATACATAGGGCTCTCATTTGAACACACACAGGGCCATCTGGGCGTAAGCTGGAAGAGTCCTGAGGTCCAGTGTCACCACCCTGCGCAGCACAGCAGTGCTATGCTGTCAGGTAGCAGCGCTGTGAGGTTTCTGCTCACAGTGAGATGAGGGTGCATAGAAAAACCACTCCGACTTTTTGGCAGCTTCCTAGAGCACAGCAGTTCCCAAAATTTCATAATGAAAATCCCTCTGACTCCATGCCCTGTCCCCCAGGGAAAGAACAACTTTTGCAACTCCTAGCAATCAGCAGCAATCCTCCTAAACCGGAGTCTTTCCATCACTGCTCCATCCCCTCGTTGCCCCAGAGTTACACGAGACAAATACATAGTATAGGGCTCCCTTGGGAATTACTAAGTAGGCCAGCTACATCAGGAGATTGCCTGACATGAAAATTGTCAATTGCTGAGAGAATATTAGACAGGAAAACATTCAATATACTCTCCCTGTTCCTACTCTTCCTTTGGGATCTGCTTATGGTCACTGCAAAAGACCACATACAAGGTCAGATAGCCCCTTGGTCTCAGCCAGTATGGTTGTTCTCTTCTGACACCCATAAAAACATAAAGAAAACATAGAAGCATATCATATGCAATTATGCATTTATTAAAAAAAAATTATGAATCTGAATTTTCCCCTAAGTTATGAAGGTGCAACAAACACAGTCATACTTCAGAAGCCTTTTAGGAAGGGGTCCAGGCCAGAAAATCAAAACCATTGCCTTGTAATTAAGGATTTCAATGCCTCGTGTGGTCCTAGATATCCTGTTCTTGTCTCTTACAGGTCACAGAAGTTAAAGGACTTGCTACTCACATCCTTGTGGGAAGTGTTACCTGTGAGACAAAAGACCTGTTTGCAGCTCGGCCCCAGGTGGTTGCAGTAGACATTAACGACCTTGGCACAATAAAGCTGAACCTTGAAATCACCTGGTAGTAAGTAGAGTTGGTCGGTCGGTCATGCCCGCACGCACGCACGCACGCACGCACGCAGTTGTAAAAATTCAACCAAAGAGAAAAGGTCCACATGATCTTTCCTCTCCTTTTTTGCTCCCTGCTGAGGCAGATGGGGAAGGAATTGTGGCCCAAGTTTGGGAGATGAGAAATAGTTCATGGTCAGCCACAGTATTCCTGTATTACCTGTGGCGAATGGGGTTGTACCCAGTTTCTTAGTTGTGCCTATTTCAGCTGATACAGTAGGCCTGGTGAGCACTGACATTATGAGACATATGAAACAGATCGTGATGAGAGATCATGGAATTGACTAAAGTGTATAATTCTTCCCCAAGCTCAAGAAAAAGATATGACTGAGTCCATACATATTCATTAATTTTTTTTAATATTAGTGTCAAGTTCAGTGGGGTTGCCCTGGATTTATGCTACCCTAGCCAAGATCAGAAGTTGGCCCACCTTTAAAAGCTGGCTTTTATGGGCTTTGTACATGGCCTGAGGGTGGTGGGAAATCTCCTAGCGTTGTCCATCTGTATTGCTGAGCATAGGTAAGCTGGTGGCATTAGGATTCAAACCCAATTCTCACAGCACTTTAATAAAATCGGTAACTGTCATTTCTGAAGAAGCATTGATGCTTTTAGCTTTTACAGTCATGTATGCTCTTTCTTGTAATGCAACAAACGTGAAGCCAGCAATAACAGCTACTGGTTTCCTTTATATGCAACAGTTCTATTAATAGTAGAGCACCTTTCTCATTAGTATGTGTGACACTTGCCAGCTCAAATCCAAGAATACTTTTCATGTGAGAAGAATAACATCAGACTACGCTACATAAATGATTTCTGACAGTAGAATACTTTTATCAGAACCGAAAACCACACTTCTGAGCCTGCTGTCTAATTAACAACATTTTCCTTCAAACACTTCTGTTAAAAAACTTGCTACCTCTGGGTTTTGATGTGCTAATAAACCACCTTTTCAAAAATCCTTTACATGGACCTGAAATTCCTTCTTGCTCAGCCTAACAACCATTTTTTTTTCCTGCTTGTGTGTCTGTAGTCCCTTTGATGTTGAAGACTTGACCCCATCCACTGGAAATGTGAGCAAGGCATCTGCTCTCCAGAGGAGAATGTCCATGTACAGCCAAGGCACTCCAGAAACGCCAACCTTCAAGGACCACTCATTCTTTGTAAGCTCTCTTTGGCTTCATGTTTATGTAATGAGAAGCCCTAGAGCAGTTCAAACACTGCAAACGCTTCATTGCCTTACATGTCTAAGCTTTTTTTCCCTGGTTCCAGCAGGTTAGCCTTACAAATACTTATAAAGCAAGTGCATTCCTAGCTGCTAATCCTAAAAGGTGACTATGATCCTGGCATCTTTGAAACTACGTGGCCAATTATTGCATACCTATTCTTCTTGCCTGACTGCTATAATACTTGAATAATCATTACGGAATGTGTGTTCATTTTGTAACAGTAACAACCATTATAGCACTAGTATTTTTAATGCATCCCATGGTCAAATTTGCCACTGTACCGAAGATATTCACAGGCTGCTCTTCACATTTTGCATGAATCAAATTCTGAATGCTTAATCAGGACTGTGTATTAAGCTGAATAGGCCATCTGTACAGATATGAATTTTACAAGTGCTGCATCCCATGCCTGTAATTTAGTACTCTGCTACAAAGCATTCCTTTAACTTGCCCTTCCTCACACCCTGTTTGCTTTAACTGTTGAAGAAATGGCTGCATCCCCTGCAAGACAGGCCAAAGTTGACAATCTTAGATGCTCTACAAGACACTTTCTTTGACAAGCTTCGTCGCAGTCGCTCTTTTAGTGACCTGCCATCGCACAGGCTAAGCCCAAAAGCAGGGCTAGAGCTATATGTGAGTCCTGGTTTTCGTCTGGTGAAGGATTTTTTTCAGTCCCTGTGTGGCATCTCCATTCCCATGCATGCTTCATGTGTTGCTCTCTGTTGCAACTCACTCGTTTTGCTGACTGTTTAGAGGGGAGAACATGACTGTGAGAGTCCATGCTGCTCACATTAAATCAAAGTTCCTCTTGGTTTCTACAGGGATAATGATCAGAAGCCAGTGATCTGTGGGTGGAGAGCAGGGCAGGAATACAAGCCAACATGGTATTCTTAAAAGCGGCCTGCTACACTGATTGATGTTATACATTTGCCTAGTAACGTGACTTTGAGATGCTAAAAGTACACCCATGTCGGGGGAAAGAAGAAATGAACCTTTCAATAAATTATGTTTAGAGAAAAAAGCAGCTAATTGTGCTGGGAAAAAAAGATGCAAGTTTTGGACACTTTAACCTTATGCACCTTACCAACATGTGAATGCCTACAGTTCTTTCCAGGAAATTGTCAGCAAAATAGTGGTTGCCTTTCATCTGTGCTGTGCATTTCCATGAGCTGACCACATAACAAAGCAAGATTTGTAGGTCAGATAGGCAGGTTGTGACTCCTGCAACGATTTTTCCCCATAGGTCAGTCAGAGTGATGAACATATGTATATGCTGTGATCATTTTTGCATCTGTGTACACTGGTTTTGCTTCCTAAATGATCAATGTCCCGGTCAATACACCACTACACAAATTCTTCTGTTTCATTTTTGCAGAAACTCGTGTTGAACAGGACTCCTATGTAACTTGTGTTCAACAATTATTAGAGATATCCATGCCACATGCAGAACATATACTTTCAGCAGAAAAGAAATAGCATAGCAATATCACCATTAAAATGCCATAACACTAGAGAAACTTTTGGGGCAAACTGTGTTAAATTTTAGGGATTTCTATTTTAGAAGTCAGAAAATAAACACAACGGAAATCTATAATGGGTATGAAAATGCAGCCAAGGTGGCTTAAGTACAACCCCATTAAAAAGAGACATGCCGCAGGAACTAGAGCAGTGCAGTGGAAATGCTGTCTGAGGGAATCTGGTAGGACGAGCAAAATTCAGGTCTCTGTTCTGCGACTCGCTTCCTAGAGCTCTCTGCTTACCAAAGAGATGCTGAGCCCAAGTTTTCCAGCAGTTTTCCCAGCAGGGAAAAATCAGGAGCCATGCCAGATGAAAGCAGAAGTTGGATTTGAAATATTTTCCCCATCTCTCAAGTCTTGAATGCTTCTTTAATCTTTTTCCTTGCATTTTTCTTTCCTGGGCACATACTGTATTTTTTTTCTCTTTCCAGTGCTACATGAAAAACATTTTCTCTCTTTCACTATTATCTTTTCAGTCAAATTTGCCAGATGACGTCTTTGAAAATGGAACAGCAACTACCGAGAAGCGACCTCTTTCTTTCACTTTTGGCGACCTGCCTTACGAAGACCGCACGCCCCCTGCCAACGCAGCAAAGCCCTCTTCTGCTCATGTCAGCTCCAGCCCTGAGATCACCGCGACCCCCACCCAGCACCGAGCTCTCAAGTCCTCCAAGAGCTCAAGCCTGGACTGTAGCAGCAGTGACTCCCGCAGAGACTCTGTCGCTGAGCCGAAGGACCTGCCATCCCAGGGAGAGGGAGCAGCGGTTGAGAACAAGGCCACCCCAAGGGCAGCTCCTGAAGTTTGCCAAAGAAACTCCGATGCTGGGAGCGATCGTGTCTTTATAGAAACAAGCGTCCCGGTGTCTCTCCTGCAGGACACAGATGAAGGTTCAGAGCTCAAGCCTGTGGAGCTGGATACCTATGAGGGCAACATCACGAAGCAGCTGGTAAAAAGGCTAACGTCAGCAGAGGCACCCATGACCCCAGAGAGGCTGCAGTGTGAGGGATCGATCAGTGGGGAATCAGAAGGATATAAGTCTTATCTCGATGGAAGCATTGAAGAAGCCTTGCAAGGGCTTCTCTTAGCTCTTGAGCCACATAAAGAGCAGTATAAAGAGTTTCAGGACCTGGACCAAGAAGTGATGCATCTGGATGACATCCTAAAAGTGAGTACGTTTTTGGAAAATACTACCCTAAAGAAAATCTAGCAGGTAGAATCTCCTCCCCTGCCTCACAAACATCAAAGCAGTGTTTTTGGAGCTCAGTAAAATTCCTTAGTAGCAGTCGATTTGCTCCTGCTTGGAGCATCCTTTCACAGTGTTGCATTTTTAAACTTGTCTGGAATGCACTTACCGTAGCCTTGTACCCTCAAGCAATGGATCTTTTAATCTATTTGAAACCTGGGGGAAAGAGAAAAAGGTGCAGTGACAGAGGGGTAATTAAATTATACCATTCTGTGAAGAAACCACTTGTGAACCCGTTGCTTGTGCCATACTGGAGATCAGATTGTATCTAGCCTTGTGTCTTTAAAATCTGTGGGTCACATCCTCAGTGGGTGTGCTTTAGCATACTACCCCTGCACTCCGTGGAGCTGTGCAAAACTATGCCAGCTGAGGATCAGGCCTTGTAGCCATACAAGCTGAATTTTCTAAATTGCCAAAGAGATTTAGAAGCACAAGTCTCACTGAAGGTTGCCATCCCCATATCGCCTAAGCTTTTTCCAAACCTTTTCCGTTTCCCCCATCCATTTTAAAAAATGAGAGACATCCTGTCATTACACCAGGATGGACATAACGTTGAAAATTAGAAAGAAGAAAAGGGTTTTGCATGTGTGTTGTTAATACGTTTACTGCCGATCACTGTGACTCATGTCTCTCCCATGAATAATAACTCATGATGCATTACTGTGCAAAGAGTGTTATATGGGAAATAATCATTTCAAATGCTTCATATTCATATGCAAGTTGGTCTGCTAGTTGTTTAAGCCTCATCATTTAAAAACATGGCTGAGGAGGAAGGAGGGAAGCATTTATACTTCAGCATTAGCTTTTTACAAAGAAACTTTGTTAACATCTGTGTTTCCATTGGTGTTTGCAGCTGCATGATATTTTCCCAAATTAAGTGTTTTTTGACAGCCTGCAGCCCCTGTTTCTTGCGCTGTTTCCCAAGGAGGTTCAAGCAGGCAAAGCTACTATTACTATTATTTTTTAAGTTCTTGGCTGCTCCGCAGCTTGTACAAAAGAGGTCAACTATCCAAACAGCAGAGGGACAATGGAGACTGTTTATTTACACTCCTTTTATCAGAAGTCACAAAGGGACAGACGTGGGATGGGGGGAAGAAAGAGGACGGACGTGTGCAGACAGGATTCCTGCACACTGGAGAAGGACGCCTTTTCCAGATCTCCTTTATGTCTGTGTGCCGCTTATTGATCAGCTTGCAGACCAACGCTCAGCATCGCCAGCAGCCGTGCCGGGCTCCCCGTGCAAAAAGGTTGAGCTGGAATCCAACTGTGGCTAAAGAAATCTCTCTTGGCAATATCAGACGGGCACAGAAAAGGAGAAGCCCACGTGCTGCTGTTTGCTTTTGCCTGAAGAAACTGCACTACCAGCCCTGAAAGAAATGGTTGCTAAAACCATTGGCGCCGCAGAGGAAGCAAGATACAGCAGCCACGTCTGTCACAGAGGTGTTGGGAAGTGTGTTTGATGAGCTAATGACTGTACGATCAGTTTAAGGTGTCAAGCATCATAAGTGCTAACATATGACCATTATAGCATTCATACTGTGTGCAAATGAATTGGAAACAAAACTCCAAGCCTCCTTAGCTCTAGAGGAGCTGGTACTGAGTCTGAACTTGGAGGCCAATGCATTTCTTCCTACAAACCGAGACAAAGTCCTGGCTCCTGCCTGGGACTGGACGATGTGGCTTGTGGAACAGCACCGGTGGCTCTTGGCTGTTCTGGTCAAATAATGACATAGTGTTAAAGGTGTTGAAGAAGTCATTGCACAAACCAACGGAGGTGATCCCTCAAGTTACATCTGATCCTGCAAGGTGACTCTGGAAACAACTCTATGAGCGCATCTGGATGAATGGGCACATGGGACCAGGGCCTTTGATACGTCCTACAGCAACAGCAGGGCTTCAGTTGCATTTCTTCCCAGTGGTGAGACAGGATGGTTTCCCCCATCTCTAGCACTGTTAATTTTCGAGTTACAATACTGCCTTTCTCTGTCACCTAGGAATGTGATGCCTGATCAGCTTTTCCTTGATAAGCCATGTGGCTTCAAAGGCCACAAACGTCCCCTCATCCCGTGAATAAATCTGCAGATACGGCACCAAATTTATTCCTGGCTAAGGTCCGTTGGAGTTACATCTGGAATAAATCCGATTGTGCCATTGGATATGTATAATTTGGCTTCTGTAGCTAGAACAGAGATTACAGAACGTGCCTTCCCCTTTCAACTTCCAGTGTGTGAATTGCCGTCTCTCCTTTTGGAGGATGCTGAAAGCTGCATCATTTGGATTCAAGATGTACTTCTCGTTTCTATAAAACACATCGAATTTTGCCTTTGAGGGTTTTCCTTTGGGGAAGAGAAGGGGTAGGATGGGGAGGGGAAGAGGAAGGGAAGGGTTTTTCCAGTTCTCAGGCTTTGATTGTATATGCTATGAATATGAAGGTTTGAAATGAAACAGCCAATAAAATGAAGTTTTAAAAATAAAATTAAGAATTTGAAAGTTTAAAGCTTTATCCTTTTTTTCTTTTCTTTCAGTAGTAGCTAATATCTGGGGTTTTCATTGGTTCGTTCTGCCTTTGCAGTGCAAGCCAGCAGTAAGCCGAAGCAGGTCCTCCAGTTTAAGTCTAACAGTTGAAAGTGCTTTAGAAAGCTTTGATTTCCTGAACACCTCTGACTTTGATGATGAGGATGGTGGTGGTGTGGAGGTTTGTAATGGTGGAGGAGGTGCAGACTCAGTATTTTCAGACACTGAGATTGAGAAGAATAGGTAAGTTTGTAGTAACTGCCAGCTGTGCTTACGCCAAACTGATACCCTAGCTCTGTGTCGCTAACAGGGGATCCCGGTGCACACATTATTCAAGGAAGACTGAGTAATCCTTGATGAGTTTTATAGGGTCAGAGTGTTCCCCGTGGCTGCTGCATACAAAATCTTTAGCTTCCAGGATCATTTTTTTCCTGTTATATACGCAATCTGTCCTCCAAAGGAGAAGGGTAAATTAAATTAAGTTGACATCAATACTGGCAGAGCCTCTTCCTTGACATAGGTTTGGACCTGGCTTTCCTTGGATGTAATTACTAAATCCTCTGTTGTTTTTCCCCCCCCTCCCTTTGTCTTTTCTCTCTAGCCAAATGAGTCTTTGCAGTGGATTAAGCTTGTCAGTAACAGTAACACAGGGCCAGATTTAAGCAGCATGGTGTAGGTTTCCTTTGGAATGTAAGAGTGATGACTGGTACTCTGTTCATGGCCCTGCGTGTTACCTGCCGTTCTTTCATCACTTTTGGTCTTTCTGAGAGGAAAAAAAAAAAAAAAAAAAGCAAGCTGTGGTGTTTGTGCCATGGTCTGTCATTGTCGTGTGACCTTAAGATGCTGTGTTTCAATCATTAGATCCTAAAAGCATGTTTGCATCCTCGGAGCTGACACGATGCCCGGCAGGCATGTAAGCGGCTCAAGAGCTGGGAAAAAAGAAAAGAACATGGTTCCCTCGCACCCCATGCTTTCCAACCAGGGAGCTGTCCTTCTTGCAGCTTATCATGGCCTGTTTAAAACAATTTTGAGTGCAAATAAGCAACCACCATGCAGTTCCCATCGTCTCACTGCATATCCTCTTTACAGAATAAGACTTGGTGGGAAGAAAAACTTGGAGAATTGTGTTGCTTGCTAAATTGGCACTCTGAGCTCAGTTCAGTCTGCATTGATTTAAGGATCTGGCTTTAACCAGGCACGTTTGCATAAATTTAAGTTAGTTATAAGGTAACTTAGAAAGCAACTAAAATCTTTTAAGTTAAAGTAGAAGTTAAAATTTCCTTTTTTCCCCTCTGGCTCATCCCCAGACAGTGTAGATCCCCGCTTCCATTTTTAGATGTGTAAGTAAGTGTGTGACTCAGTGTAAAGATTGCAAGTGTTGAAACTTCCGAACTTGCAGCCAAATACACTTGCCATCTGGGGACTGACCTCGGCCTTTGCATTTAAACACAGGGAGGACCATTTGGACAACAAGACAATGTTGGAAATAATGATTTAAAACACAGTGAGACTAGCTTTACGCTCTTACAGAAATGATTGGCAAAGTAAGCTGTACACATTGTGCCTAAAACAGCGTATGAAAACATCATGTCTCTTACTCCAGCAGTGGTTTTCGTCTCCTCTGCGATGAGCATTAAAGCTGGCGGCAGGAGGACACCAGAAGCACTGAGCTGTTCCTAGCAGCTCGGTGCTTGGGATGGCACAAATTTTAAGGGGGCTTAATCCAGAGCGACTGGGGAGATGATTTACCAAGAGATGGGAGAAAACACTGTCACCACCAAGCGACAGTAACGGGGGGTTAAAAAGGCTTGCTGGTGAGGGCATCGCATCGCTCAAGGCAAACCAGTCAGGGGCCAGGGGGCTGTACCCACCGAGGGGACAGCCCAGCCAGGGCAGCACTGCTCCTTTGCGATATGATGTATTCATCGCGAGGTTTCTGGCTGCTTTCAGCTCTTCTGCCGTGCTCGTTGCTCGTCACCCTGAGTGAGCTTGTGTGCGTGTGTCTGCCGGGTCGGCAGTCGGCCCCGCACTGACCTCCCTCCCTCATCCCTCCCCAGTTACAGGACGGAGCACCCAGAAGCCAGAGGCCACCTGAGCGAAGCTCTCACCGAGGACACGGGTGTGGGCACCAGCGTGGCCGGCAGCCCTCTGCCCCTGACCACAGGGAACGACAGCCTCGATATAACCATAGTTAAGCACTTGCAGTATTGCACACAGCTCATTCAGGTACCGGGCCTAGCTCATTTAGGGAGTGTGAGCTGGAGAGATTGTCTGCAACACGCACAGGGAACGCAGTGCATGACAGCCCCCCCGGACATCAAAATTCTCTGTTTGTGCTCACAGCTAACTAGCACAATCTTTTAGAGGTTTTTTTTCAGAGCCCAAGCACAGCAAATGTGATTTTAAACCTCCAGCAAGCCACCCGAGCAATGGAGGGCATCAGGGTTTTCCTGATGAGTCAAATCATACTGCAGCTTCCTCTTTGCAATTACTTGGCTTTTCCATCTTAGATGTAATTAGCTTTATTTTCCCAAAGGCCCACTGAAGCAATACAGAGCGAGTCTGATTCCAGCACCCTTAGTGCTGAGCTGGACACTTTGCTGACTCACAAGTATGAGAAAAAGGAAGGTTTTTGGCTTAAGTATAAGAGTACACAGTAAATGTGCAGCTGGGGGAAGCGAGCTCGAACTGTGTCCGCACACGGAGCAGATTTGACATGAACAATATTTATGTGGACTGCTGAAGAAAATGCAGCAGCAGGGAGTATTATCAAGGAAAAAGCACCAAATTAATAAAGACAACTGAGGAGTTGATCAGAGCTGAAACGGAGTGGAGAAAGAGTGACCTGTGGTCTGCCTCCAGGCAGGCATGTCCTGGAAGTCCGCGGCCTGTGTTATGTGAAAGTCAGACTAATATTCTTTTCTGGCTTAAATGCTTATGATGACGGATTCCTTTAACTTTGCAGAGTGTATAAATCAGAAATTACTTATGCTAATGGCTGCTTGGATACTCAAGTGCCTGGATCTGGGTGTAGATCTAAAAATATAAGCAACAGTGCATATCAACCAGGATCATAAAATATCCCAGAGACAAAAAGCTTTTGAAGTTAAGGAGATCCCATGGTTCCAGGCAATGAATTTGCCATTGCACTTCTTCAGATGCCAGGTGTTTTGGAGGTTTTTTGTTTTCTTCCGAGGTTTTTTTTTTTTTTGCTCAATGACTCCTTTTCCTCTCTTCCCATTTTTCTTCACCAGCAAATTGTGTTCTCCAGTAAAACACCGTTCGTGGCAAGAGACCTCCTGGATAAGCTGTCCAGGCAGATCCTCGTGATGGAGAATATCGCAGAGATCAGCACTGAGAACTTGGGAAACATCACCTCCCTTACTGATGGTAAGAGGCAAGTTAGAGGGTTTCCTTCTGAAAAGGGTTTGTTTGGGCATGTGTGCCTGCTGAAATAATCGCTGTGCAGAGCTCACCACCACTGCAGGAGATGCCACCGTAGTAAGGTCGACCCACAGTTACCAGCAGATGTAGCAGTCACCAGGGTTGGTCAGGGGCCTTGTTCTATCTTCATTGCTGACATCCAGAAATAAGCAGGTGAGAAGAGAAAGGACTTATCCTTGTCCTGCTTGATGTGCAGAAGATGCACAGAGGTCGTTGCTGTGGTGGGGTGGGGATGCTGCCACTTCTGAAGAGCCAAAATCTTCTACTTCTCTTACCTCAGGAAAGAGGGGATCTGCCTTATACTATCAGAGGCATAATACATCTCCTTGAATGGTTTATCCCAAAATACTATTTTTTGTCATCTCTGTGGAGAGCTATTTAAATATTTGTGTTGTTGTTGTGTCTATTTTAATACCTTGGAAGAGTTTGACAAACACTTAGTTACTCACCCTTGTGAACACTCTGGCAGGATAGGCAAATATACCATGGTGTATTTACTTTGGTTATCAGAAAACTGAGGCAAAATTGAGTGACTTACCCAAGGCCACAGAGCAGTGCTAGGACAGGGACCAGTCTTGTGCGGACCATTTGCAGTATTCCCCTAGTATTTCGTGGTATTTAAAAGGATGAGACATCAGTGTCCAGAACTGAATCAGGAGCAAATTTTCTCACATTCTACCATGGGAAACAGAAAAAAACACGTTACAAGCTTAGGGTGCGCACATGATCATGCTCTGTGAAGGTAATGGCACAGGGCGACCCACCAAACAGTAGTTGTCCATCAGTGGGCTGGGTGAGATTTCCTCCACTTTTACCATCTTTTGTCTTCTGGAAGTCGATGCTTCCAGCACAGCTTTGTTTCATTGTTCATTTTGTTTTCTCCTCCAGCAATTCCAGAGTTCCACAAGAAGCTGTCGCTGCTGGCTTTCTGGATGAAGTGTACTGGCTCTTCGGGAGTGTATCACACATCTGCAGACAAGATGATGAAGCAGCTGGATATCAATTTTGCCACCACAGTGAATGAGGAGTGTCCAGGACTTGCAGAAACAGGTACGAACTGATGCAAAAAAATTGTGTCAGTCATCAAAATAGAGAACGGTGGTATACTGGGCTTTACTCAACCTTCATTGCTTTGTTTTCCAACCCCTTGGAGGTCTGTTTGGCCATGGCTCCAAGATCTCATGTGAAAATTAATGCTACAACTCTTGAACCAGTTTTGGTCCAAAATAATCAGATCAGAATAGGAGAAAAGGTGAGGTGAGCAGAAAAGAAAATATTGTTTTAAAGTTTATGAGCTAATGGGAAAGTAAGTCTATTCCCATATACAGGTTTGTGAGTGATTCAGTGAAGTAGGAATCCTCTCACTTAATTTTATGTGTCCGTATAATGTCTGTACCCCATTACGGTTCACTGGGATGGAATTAATATGCAGCCAAGTGAGTCTATCTGAATATAAGTTCCTATTTGAAGTGAGATGTACCACATTGACTAGCTCTCCCTGGGCTAGAACGGGGATGTAGTGTGACTTGCTCAGATGTGGGCACCCGCATTGCAGATGCCTACCCAGGGCAGTGTTTTTCCTCCTGCTCCACGCTACAGCTCTCACAGACAGTGCCTCAAACTAGCTTTCTGCAGGCCATGTGCTCACGCAGGAACATGAAAACAAGCAAAGCCAAATCCTGCTTCTGTGCGCATCCCCCTTACTTCCGTGGCATCGCAGAGATGCAGCTGCCAGTGCATATGGATATGTGTTTAGCAATGCAGGGTATCGTTTGGGTAGAAAGAATGCTGTATCGGGTAGGAAACTGCACTAGCCATCCGTAAACTGGCAGAGGTTCATCATTAAAAAGATATCCTCTGGTGATGACAGCTAAACAGGGAGAAGGTCTGTCTAGCTTCTAACCAAACCACAGTTGAGGAGGTTGGGAAGTATCTGGCTTTGCAAATAGGTTTCTTTCTTTCTGGCTTTGAAGTGGACTGCAGCATTTTGCCCACAGCTTCTGCTCCCACTAACGCATCCCTTTGTTTGTGGCTGCCTGCAGTCTTCAGGATCCTGGTGTCTCAGATCCTGGACCGGACGGAGCCTGTCCTCTACTCCAGCATGTCCTCCGAGATCATTACCGTCTTTCAGTATTACAACTATTTTGCCAGCCACAGTGTTAATGACCTCGGAAGCTATTTGCTGCAGCTTGCAAAAGAAGGTAGGGTATATAAATTCTGGTGGCTAACGGGGGAGTACATTGGTGTCCTTCTGAGCTCAGCACTAAACAGTTCAGCCCTGAAGCTGATTTTACAAAAGAAGGGAGGAAAGGAGACAAATAAGTGCCTTGGATACTAAGTCTGAATGCACCTGAACAGTTGTACATATCAAGGGAAAGGAGCTGATGCAGATACACCCTCAGTCATTTCTATTTCCAGATTTGAATGGGAAAGAAATATGTTGAAAGAATTAGTTTTTAGGAAATGGCTGATGGTGGTGGGCTGGGCCTAAGGTCTGGGAAGTTTTCTGTGCCTGCAGCTTGGATGATGTTCTGGTCTTTCATCATCCTTTATGGAAAGACCTTCTGAAGTGCTGAGATCTTCTCAGGAGCAAGGGATCACAGCTCCTCGGTGTTTGGCAGGCTCTGCCACTGAGAGCTAAAGAGAGAAGCAGATGCTCCGCAGAGTGTGCTAGACTGCAATCCCTGGCAAGCCAAGTTTTCTTCTTCTCTATTTGAGAGGGAGTTTGAGAAACCTTGCCTAGTTTTCATTTTTATTTGGGCATACTGGGGAGCTTTTACTCAAAAACCTGGAAGGAAAAAGGCATTTCAGCCCACCTCTGAAACACATTAGCCCTGGCTCTTGGTGGCAGACATCAGTCTGCCTAGAAAAAGCTCTCACAAAGATGCCCTGGAAGGCAATACACTGACAATATTAGATTTCACTTGTTATAGGGAGGATTTACATGTTCCAGCAGAAAGTGAAGTTTTGACAGGTAGGCCCTTAACTCTGGGTGGGCGTAAGTGCCGCAGTGTCCCACCTAGCCCATCTACTCATCTCCTCCTTTGGTAGAACATCCGAGACACTGGCCCAACTTAAAGCCCAGTCAATTCTCCATGCAGACACACCGCAATACGGATCCATAGCAATTGCTCAGATGGGGATTTTTCCTGTCCTTTGTGTGTTTAGTAAAAATTGAGGACTGCTAGCAGGGAAATGAGCAATCTGAAATATCGAGAAGATAAAATAAGTAACAAGAACCTTCCTTTTGCACTTCTAGCGTCTGTGGTTCAGGTGCTGCAGTCAGTGAAAGATGGAAAACTGCAGCAAAATGTGGCCAAAATAAACTCCAATAACCTTCCACCACAGCAAGAAGTTTTGAGAGCTTTGGCTTTACTTCTCAATGAAAATAAAAATGAAGTCAGTGAGACTGTGGCATCACTTCTGACAGCTACTGCAGAAAACAGGCACTTCAGGGAGAAGGTAAGTGGCAGAAAATCACCTATCGCATAAGAAACCTGTATCATCATGACATTTTTTCCGCCTGTATGTCTCAAATGTCTATGTGTATAAAATAGTTGCTCCAAGCTTGGTTTAAACTGATCCTGAGGGATTTCCTATCTAATTTTTCTGCAAACACCCAGATCTGTTTCTGTCGTTACGCCAGTCTGCTTCTACCTGTCATTACACTAAACAGGTACTAACCAAAACTCTGCAAATACTTAGTCAGTGCTGTGCTCTCCAGCTATCTTCCACACTTCAGCATTTCTGCTGGCCTGTCTCAGACTTGGCTTCAGCCCAGGGCTTCAAGGCAACAGTCCCTGTCATCGTCAACATGCAAAGATGTAGGTCTGAGATTTTTACATTTTTCCCAAAGGAGGCTGGCATCTATGGGACCTCTCACCATTCCTGGAGGGGATGGACTGCCTTGGGCCACCACAGCTCAGCTGTGAGATGTAAGATTTGAGTCAGTCACAGATACCAAAGGCAACAAGCAGGGCCAGATTAAACACAGAAATTAAAGAGAAGGGAGAAGAGGAATAAGAAGAAATTAGGGGTTGGCTTCTACCCTTTCATGGCAGCCCTTTCCCCACTATCCTTCTTGTTCCCTGTCAGGAGAGAGTGAAAGAAAAGGCAGCTGGAAGAGGAAGAGTGGTAGAAGGAAGGCAGAGGGAGGAGAAAAAGGAGCTCACTCTTTGCTGTTCTTCTCTGTCGATCCAGTCCCCTCTTTGCTTGCCCTCTCGCTTCATCTTCCATTTTTGCAGCCTCTTGGTACCTCACACCATCCTCCCCCCTCCCCAGCTTCATGGAGGCAGCATCTCAGGCAAAACACAACCTTTTCCTGGAACCGGTGTGTGTAGCTGATACCTGGTTCACTACCTGCGGGAAGGACCACAAGGTGCCTTGTACGAGGGCTTTATGCAGCCTTATGCTGCAGATAAGTTCGTTGCACAGCCGACTGCCACCAAGATTTGCTGCTCACACTGGCTTTGTTTGCTCAGTAATAGCTACTAATTTCTAGGACCAAGCAGTAAACTGGTCTAGCAGCTCAGGCTAACCTTGTAATAGTTTGTAATATTTGCAGTCCCTCTGAGGTCCATCCCAGCCCATTCATTACTATCCCTACATTAGAGAGACCATCTCAAGGGTCAACCCTTGAGCTATTTAGACTCTAAGGCCCGTTTAAAGCTCTTTTGCAATTTATGCAGAAAGGCCTTCAAGGGTGCCGGATCGTGCTTCTCACTTTACCGTGAACTTTTCCTCACCAAAAGCTGGCCTGAGCCTACAGACTCCCACTGAGCTGTAACTAGTGGCCTGGCCTGGATCTGCTATAGGGAATTATCCCACCACATTACCTGTAGCAGGGGCTGTCCCTCTCTGTCCCACGTGCTCGCTGCCAGGGAGGCCGGCGGCAGTCCCTCTCTCTTTAGTAGGGTAGCAATGCCTCCACGGTCACCTTTCTGCTCCACACAGGCACAGACATTTTCATTGCTACTCTTCTTTATCTGTTTTCAGGCCTTGATTTATTACTGTGAAGCACTAACCCAGCCCAACCTCCAGCTGCAGAAGGCAGCTTGCTTGGCTCTAAGATACCTCAAGGTAAGAGACAAGGAATTCAGTTGTGGCACTTGGCTTTACTCTAAAGAAAGGACATCTGAGAGGTACAAACAACAAAACACAAATTGCGATAGCAGCAGCAGCAGTGCTTTTGTTTTGCATTACTGCACTGCATCCTTGTACAGATACCATGATGTTTGGGAATGGTTTAGAAGCTTCATTTCAAAAACAGACAGGCTCTGTGATGATGATGAAGTTTATGTTTTCCTCCCTCTCAGACTGATTTTAGGAGACTTACTTCCACATCACAGAGAAAAAAAATTATTCCTCTGCGGAGTACTGACTGGCAGGGGAAAAAAAATCATCCTCTCCCAGGATACAATTAGCTGTAATGCACGTGGGTTGCAGTGGGAGAAGAGAAAGGGAGAGACAGGTCACAGCTCATTTTGTGACACCACACAGAGCAGCTGTAAGTAGCAAGTACAAACCACACGGACAAACAGCTGGTACATCTGGGTGCTACAGCGTCAGCTAGTGTCTGTACCATTTCTGCACTCCCATGCCGGGAAGGAAAAATGCTGCTTTTGTTTTGGCTATACAGAGCCATGGGAAACAGCAGCCGCCTAAGCCCGACTGGTACAGGACACTGAGCCAAAAAAAACGTTTCCATCAGACAGACCCACCACAGACTGATTATTTCTCCCTCAAAACTGTCCCCTGGAGAAGACAGCTCTAAAATGTAACTTCATCCCAGCCAGAACTGATACCATCCAATACATAATCCACTATTGTTTAAATAGGGAAAAAATGTTTTCCCCTGAACAAGATGCTGGCAGGGATCTCTGAGAAGCAACGGTGAGGGGCATTACACCTTTGCTGCATGCAGGGCGCAGTGGGGTTTTTGATCTCTCAGGAAAGGGCAGACTAGGAACCAGCGATGGGAACCAGCAGTGTGGCTCCGATGCATCTTGAACAGTAAGAATGGCAATTGCTGGGAAAAAAAAACTACTAAGGAAAAGGACCTCTGTCATTTGGGATCTTCAACTAAAAAGCTGAAGCCTTTCTGGCAGATATTATTTCACGGATGGGAATGCTCCAGCTGATAGGTGACTGTGGATAAGCTGACCCAATGGCACTCACCCACATCAAACCATGTCAGCTGCACCAGGTCCCATCTGTGTTGCTGTGGCCCCATCACTCACGTCAGTGTTTGAGCTGTAGTCGCCAGTATGCACCCACTGCAGACTTGCCCCGAGTCAAGCACAAGCGACCACATTCGAGATGGGGTGGTGAGATTTAATGGCTGCAGTAGCTAAGCGCTGATTCAGAGCATTGTAGATGAGACCCGTGCCCCCCCGGATCGACAAGGCTCATAACAAATCCTGTCTCTGTGGCTCAGAGCATCTTCCATGCGTCACACCGGGGCAGTACCTGCCCTTCCTCTCACTCATCTCTCTTACCATATTAAACAGCCTGCCAGAGACACTATGACAGCTGCCCTCCCCAAATGTCTTGACATTTTTGTAGCAGAGAACAGGATTATTCCTTGCTTTCTTCCCAAAATAGGAGAGGCAAGGCAAAAATGTGGACATGTTGGTGAGTGCAGGTGTCAGTGAGGAGCCTGCGGTGAAGCGACTGGCCTGGCCAGCCAACGTGCCCCTGTAGACACAGTTAGCCTGGCAAGAGCAACCTTCTCAAACCTACCAGGCTGGACACGCTCAGTGTGAAACTCATTCCCTCGCCGCCTGTCTCCTGTTCTTTTCCCTGCCATACCTGTGCCTTGGCACGTTTGTTGCCTTGTCCCATGGCCCATCACCCAGCCTACGGTCAGAAGTGGCTGATCAGCCAGATTCATGCATGTAGCACATAGGGTAGGAAAATTAGAAAGGGTCCATGCTGACAGCAGAAAATATGCCTTGTCCTAGGTGCTCCCCCTCAGGGAAAACCCATTCCTCATGTCCCCACCAAGGCCGTCCCCCTGGAGTAGGAAGGGCAATGCAGAGGATGGCCACTGTTTCCAGACAGGGCTGTGAAATAAAACTGTGGTGTACTGTGCGGTGCTAATGCGGTTCTTTTTACGCTTCCCAGGCTCCTGAGAGCATTAAAATGCTGGTCACGCTCTGCCAGTCTGACAACGAAGAGATCAGAAAAGTGGCGTCCGAAACCCTGCTCTCACTTGGTGAGTTGCCTGTTTCACAGCAGCATGTAAGACACCTGAGTTATACAAATGCGAGACTCTTAACTGAAGCAAAATTTTATATGTAGAGACTCAAACACATTAGAAAATATATATTAGAAACGATTCATTTTGAAAATGATGAAAATGGACCAAAGAGGAACTGAATTGTGTGAGTCTGGAGGGGGAAGTAGAAAAGGGAAAATTAGCGAAGGAGAAGTTGACAAACAGAAATAATTCATAATGAATTTGAACACCGAGCAGCCTTGAGGAGGCAGGACTGGCACACTGCCTGCTGCATATCCTACACCCTTCTCTTGGGGATCCCCTCCCGTCACCCCTGTAGTGCCATTGTCACACTCTCAAGTGCCATTAGCACTGCCAAGTGTTCATTGAATCTAAATTATCTCTATATGCTTATTTGCACGGACCCTAGCCTGCCAGTCCTCCTTCACTCAGTACCTCAGGCACCTTGCACTGACCTTTGTTTGTCCTTGAGACAACAGATACCCTGTTCATGAACCTGTAATCTGGCTGCATAGCAGTACGTGACTGCAAGTGCGGCTGCACAGTTTCAGGGCCCCAGTACTTCAGTGGCACAGAAAAACTGTATTTATCTGGCCTTTAGGCTAAGCACGAATTTCCACTCCATGGGTGTGTGTCCATTTGTAATCGTCGTTCGGCAGACTCTCCAAAGGTACTCTCTTTCATTCACCAGTTCAGCGGGAATTCACTCTGCTGAGGTTAGAAACCAACTAGCCCAGGGACACTTTTGAAAACACTGGGAGATTTGTACGGCCATTCTTCTAGATGACAGACAGAGAACATTTTGATTCCTAATGGTCAATTCAACACACTAGGCTCAATGCTATCTTCAGGTGCGTGTAGATGACAGTACCTAAAAGGGTTTGACAGAGACAAATAGTTAAATTCAGCCAACCTACTGCTTCCTCTTTTTCAGCAGTATATAAGTAAAGATGTAGGTACACTCACTTCTTTGAAGTGCTAGGAAGTGAGAAGTGGGTAAACTTTATATTGTCCAAAGTAGAAGTGGATAAACATAATCTACCTCGAGTGTATCACAGCTGCAGCTGAGACCTCGACAAGCACCACAGGTGATTTGGTAAGACAAGTGTACAGATCCTGTCATCTAATCATACAAGCCATGTCTGCTTCTGTTTTGTTCTAGATAAAACCAGCAAATTACATGAGAAAAAAAAAAATAATTTGAACATTCAGAGCATGCTTAATTTTTCCAAGTAATTTCTGAAGTTGCCTTCAACAAAATAAATTTTAAGAATGGGAAGAAGTTACTGGCATATCAGTACTTTCTAACAGCAGAGAATCCAGTATTTTAAATGTTGTAGGGCAATGATATAATACGTTATTATGCTTTAACATTTTGCATTCAGGTGAAGATGGGAGACTGGCATACGAACAGCTGGACAAATTTCCCCGGGAATTTGTTAAGGTTGGAAGCCGCCGTGGAACTGAAGCTGCCACAGCTTTTTAGGTGGAAAAGAACCTGCCGACATTTAACAGTCATTAAAGTAGGATGGAGCTGCACATCAGTGTGGGGAGCAGAAGGAAGGCTTTGAAGAATTCCATAAGAATGTCCCAAAATGTAGCAATTTACAGACTTTTTACAGAAAAGCAAAATCTAAAATCCAGCTTAAGAGTTCCTATCGGCTCCTCTTTGCAGCTCATGATGGAACAGTTGGATGCTAAGGAAGAATACTTTCTTGACTGATTTGCAACAAATAACGTAATTGCAGTTATTCAGCCTCAACAAACTGCTGTGAGTTTTCAGAATTTGGCATCTTCATATATTTTACTATTACATTTACTTCCTTGAAGTTGTTGTGAAAGCTTGAGATACTGTACCTAAGAAGGACAAGTAGGCCACCTGGGCAGGACTGCAGAGCAGCTTTCTCTTCAACCCTGAGCGAAGCATCTGCTGCCACGTAGTGTCCCCCGCAGTGCTCCAGCGGCAGGGTACACCACTCGGCTTTCTCCGTGTTGTCTCAGCAATGAAATATAGAGCAAGTTTCTTCAAGTTGTGCCTCCAGAAGCAGCATGATATAAACCCTGGGAGGTGTCACTTGGATGACTCACTCTAAATGCCTCCGCTGGTCTTTTATTTCCTTTCTCTTGCCCTCCAGCAATGAACCATCATTAATCCAGAGATTTGTGAGGGGGATCAAACAATCACGTAGGTTTCCGAAAACTAAATGAAAAGGTAAAGCACATTTATTTATTCCGAGAAGGAGTGAATACAGCTAATTGCACGAGTCCCCAAAGCCATTTGGTCCTGTAAGTTGCAGGCGGGATTGGATTTCATACACGCTAATTAGTGGATCGTAGCTTCTATGGAGTGATTTCAACATAAAGAACTAGGACAAACTGAAGTGGACCTCGGAGGCAGTAATAAACAGAGGGTGAAGTGTTAACAGAGGAGGTGAATAGAATTTAACAGAAGAGTGTTCTTGTACTGTGTTCATTATGCATGAAATGCTATTTAGATGTCAGTTAAAGTATCCAAATTTGCATAGACTACATAGAAAAGATTGCAAACAATTCACATCAAAAGGAAGCCTCGTGCGCCAAACACATTGGCATGTTTGGGTTTTTTTTACTGTGAATGTTACAACAATGTACATATCTGTATATTTACAAAGATATATATTCTTCCTTTAATTAAAAAAGTACATTTTGTACAGTTCAAAATGCTTACTTGTTTACTGAGGAATATAGACTCTTTTTGCAGAAGGTGAAATAGCCACGTTATGGTTTTTATACCATGCCTATCCCATCAGCTGAATTCTTCCAAGGTGTCCTTTTGTATTGACTGCTGCTTTTTTTTTTTAATTTTTTTTCTTTTAGTTTTGTGGCATTTGTACTCACCATGTTTCCTAGCACATTTAAGTTATAATAAATATTATTTTTTAATTACTAAGCATATCAGTCCATGTGTATAGTCACTCTTTCTATCAGCAGCCTCTCCACTGAGAGGCCCATCCAACCTTCAAACATCATGCAGGTCAGCTGCCAGTACCGTAAGCGGCTCAGTAAGAGCCACCTACTTGCAGCTGGATTTGCGGCAAACCATTAGGGAGTTGCTTAATCCTGTTAAGGGAAAAGGCTGGTAGGGAATATTTGTTTTTTCAAGCCTGGTCACCAGGACAAGGCTTTATGACAATCTCAAAAAGTTTAGCTAAATTATATGAAGTCATCTGCTAGATTTCTAGCAGAAATAATTTGCGTTTCATACCATATCAACTTTGTTAAGACTTAGAAGAACATTAAGATCTCACAAAAACATCTAAATTAGAGCAAATGAATAATGTACCAAGGACTACTGCCTGAGGGCAGACAGAGAACTGCAACTTCTTGTGCAGGGGGAGAAATGGTGCAACACTAGCTTGTGTCCTAACACGCACAACTCGCATTTTCATCTTTCTGCTGGCCAAGGCGGGGTACGTGGCAGACTGTTTTACTGATTGAAATAAACACAAACCACAAAAGCAGGAAAAGTAGAGAAGGGATGAAACTATAGTGAAAACGACTGCTCCTAGTTGTACCTCTGTGAGGTGAACCACAGCACGTTTTAAAAAAGCCAGTTTTAAGCTAAAATGCTATTTTGGAAGCAAGGGGAGGACTGTGCCCTCTCAGCGTTCCTGCCCTGGTTGCTTCAATGTGTGTGTGTGCAGGCCCTTGCTCCCATCCCAGAGCATCAGCAAGAGGCATACGCTATTTAAAAATAAGACGAGAATATTCTTATACTCCCACATCTGTCAAAAGCTCCCACCTGTACTACATACTATCTGTCAAAAGGTTGCTGGTAGTTTGTGTATCACTGCATGGAACACGATTTTGTTAAAGCAAAAGCTATGATGCCATCGGGTTGTAGGTGCTACATTCTGAACTGTCACTTAGGAACGAGTGAGATGTTTACTTCCAAGCAAGCACTACTACCCTACGTTTCTAGCTACTCCTAGTTTAAGTTCAGAGCAAACCAGCTTTGTGTATCACTCAAGATACTTACCAAGCCAGGCTCCGCAAGGACTAGCGGAAAATATACTGAAGAGGCTCCCGCACTGCTACCAAACTTTCACCGATTGCTTCTTCCCTTCTGCGAAGACAGGCTCATCTCAGACAGAAGGCACTCCTTGTCACACCATGTACCACGTCACACGGAGCTTATATCTACTTACATCTCCTTTCATCTCATCGTAGTTTAAATCCACCGTTTGAGAAGTTTATTAACTGATCTGCTCACCATTATAACCATTAAAAAAGCACGTATACAGCTCATATGAACCAGATAGGAGCAAATCCTGCTCTCAATAAAGTCAATGAGGAAATTCACAGGGATTTTAGTGGGAACAGTTCGACCAAATTTCATTCCTGTTGTGGTATCCGAGACTGACAAGCTTGAACCTGGGATATAGACGTATAGAGGCTAAATTTCACTTTGAGCATTAATACTGTTTTATAGAAGTAAATAAAACAATCACATCCGAACATGATTCATGACAACATATGAAAAAAATCACACTCTTAATTTAAGAACAAAACCAAACAAAATCCCATAACAAACCCTTGAAAAAGTGAATGAACCTGAAAGCTTCCAAAACCAGAAGGCAAATAAAAAGGAACAAACCATGCATTTGTCTCATAACTTACACATTTTTATGCTTGCAGAGCCGACAACGCTGCCCTTTCCTACCACGTTAATGCAAGAGCTCTCCTTTGTGGAGTAGGCAAAAACCAGATGCACAGAGGTGAATGTAACAAGACAGATGCTTACTAGCTAGCAAAGCAGGAACCAGCAGGCAGTAATTATAAAACCTCTTTTCTTAGGGCCGCAGCAGGTTGACTAGAACAAATTTAAAGGCCTGGGCCACCCCAGAAAAATATGTTAGGAAAAAGTTCCTGTACCTGCAGCAGTGGAGACTGAAGAGATAAGGATTTCGCCAGGAAAACTGTGCTCTGGAAAGGGGTTTGCCTGGTGGTTTTGGTGGTGGCTTATTCTTACCTCATGCTTTTCACGAGCTACGGTGGTTTTCCCTACCTCTGCCACGCTGTTATCGTCTCCTTGTGTTCTGCTGGGTAGATACAAACCTGTAGCGCCTCTGTACTACTCTAGCTACAGCAGCAGCTTAAGTTAGGCTGCCCAGAGTTTCACACTGCTATTAGTAGGACTCCTCCTGTACCTGGTATACCTTCAGAAAAGCTATCTACTATAGCTTTACCCTATGCTGCTGTCTGTTATATACTGATTATTGCTGACTTTAAGCATTCAAAATTAGGAGGTCAGTACAACTGCCAGACTGTATATCTTAAGTATGGACCGCTGCTTTGCTGATTTGCAATGGAATTATCCTGATGATGGGATCCACAGCACCCCCCTTCAAACGACTGAAGTGCCCCGAGGGTACGACAGAGGTATCGTCGTACCCAAGGGTTTGACCTTCAACACGGCCGATCACGTTTCATTACAGGCGGTTGTTGGCAGATCAACAAACCAGGAGCAAATTAAAGTTTCTCAGAACACCATTATCATTCACTGAACTACTTGGTGTTATTACAAGAATGAAAAGAGAAAATAACAATAAACATTTTCTGTTGAAGAAAATGTTGATAACAATGCAGTTCAGTCTCAAGAACAGAGCCCTGGAAACACACGGCCTTGGCAGATTTGCAAACCTTCTGCTCAAAATCTCAAATCCAGTTCTGAAAAGGAAACAACCTCAGATGGCCCTTAAGGAAAAGTAAATGAATACGCAGTGTGCTTCCTTGCAAAAATCAATGCCCAACTTAGGCACAGGCTGCAACATAAGCTCCAACACATGACGATGCTGTAGGCCCTCATGTAAGCAATACGATGCCAAACACCAAGTGGTTTCAGTTGCCCAGCCAAGTAGTTATTATTCACTTCTCCTCCACGCGTTCTCCTAAATACAATGGGTGTTTCCACCAAAATTGATATTTTTGCTAAACCAAATAAAAGGTTTTCCTCACACAAACCATCCACCCTCCCCAGTTTGCTTGCCTCTGCTAGTCCCTGCGCAGCTGCTCCTTCTTGAAACATCTGACACCTGCAAATGGCCTGTCTCCCCACACTCGAGTCTTACATATCTGAAATTCTGTCCTGTTAGGACATGCACATTTTATGGGAGAAGTGCTAGTAGACATATCGCACTTCTGAGCAGCCTTAGGATACTTCAGTGAAAGAAGAGATTGTGGCCATGGCCTCTGCAACGAAAAGGAGTCAGCATGTCGGTCAAGTTGGTGCACAGAAGCATTTATGACTTCTTGGGAAGAAAAAAAAAAAAAATCAAATCACATTCTGCAGTTAGGTTCCAGAACTAATAATTTTACTCTTCTAGACAGAATGTTCTCTGTGATTTAGCTGGGTGTGAAATTTGTCTTTAGTGATGCTGATTTTCAGCTGTTACATAGCTATGTTTCATTGGTAACTATTTTCCGTACACACTTGAACAAAAATAAAAAGGTCAGATGGTTGTAAAAACTAATTACACAGCTCTCTAATTTCTACACATTTGACAAGCCTTTCACACATGCATACAAAGTTCCTATGCTTACTATGGAAGATAGTCCTACTGCATCCATGTTTTAAAAAGTACTCAGGAATTTTCAGGACAATAAATGAAACTTGACCCTTTTAGAACATTTTTAAACAGCAATTAATGCTGCAGCATAAAACTTTGGACAATGTTTTCATACATTAATATTTCTCATATAATAGGCATAGGGAGATTGTTTGACAAAGGTCCAACACATCTGTGACAGAGACAGAGCATGTATATGGTTTTTATTCCTATGCCACAATTCAGCTCTCATACCCAGTCTTCTCCGGCAGCATGTTTTTTCAAGAGTTTATACAGCAAACTATTCTCTCTGCTAATGAATTAGAGTTAATAAAACCATAGTAGCCTTGGTTTGAAGACTTCTGGTGCAAGTGTATGTATTACTGAGTGGCCCATGTCTTTTTCATGTAAAAATTTCTATTACAGGTGGGCCAAATGCTGCAATAGGTCCATCAGCTGGAATGAAGAACTTACATGATTTACTCTGTACACAATCCATTTCAACAGAAGCAAGCATCCAGCTACTCAAGGGACTGTTGTCTTCGTTGTTTAAATAAAATCAATCAAGAAAAAGCACAAGATTTAAATCTAATAAGCATTCTTCTTGACCATCTTGATGAAAATAAGGAAGAGCCAGATGCAGATAATGCACACAAATTCTGGATTTGTTACTTTCCAGCAGTTCTAACAGCAGCACCTGTATTACAGCAGGAGGTGAAATGGTGGAAAAAAAGTTGCACTTGCCACCTCAGTTGCATTGGTCTGCCTGGCCAGCTAATTACGCAACAGTGCTTTCTTCCCTGCTACAGTCTGCAAATGCAAAATACTCCCGATGTTTAAAAATAAAGCCACCTTTGAGGAATGACTGTTAACTATGAATAACTTCAACTAAATTGCACTGCATGAAGACTACTATAACAAGTTAAATTTTATGTGTTTCCTTGTTCACTATTGTTGAAGAACTACTTTGACATGAAAATTGCTTAGAATCTGAGATAGGAGAGGTTTAAGTCACTTGACAATATTACTTATTTCTTTTGAACAGAAAGGTTACTTTACAAAGCAGTTATCCAGCATCTACTTGTTTGTTTTTTCTTAAACACAGCATCAGTGCAAGTTAAAGGACACACCTTTGTCACCATTGCTGCACTGTGATGGAAAGGATTATGTCTCAACACCCTCTGGAGCACAAATTGGAAGGTGTGGTCTTTTGTTTACAAAGTTCCCAGGAAATACAATGCCTCACCTTGTGGTTACCAGATTCAAGCCAGAAGGAATATTACTTCCTACAGTGGTTCTGACATTCCCCAAATGTCACAACTGAAATCAGTTATGAAACATCTGTTCGCTTACTGACACCCCCAGGGAGAGAATAAGATATGAAAGCAATCTAAAGGTGCCAGTCTGATAGCTCCACAGATGTGTTCACGTGTACCCTGAAGCACCCCTTTTGGCAAGGCCCGATAGATCCATAAACCAGAATCCCCCTCCCTCCTGAAAGCCACTCAACTTTAAGCTCTTCACAAGATAGTGCAATGGCCACCATCTTTTAAAGCCTATCCTGGGAAGACCTCTTTACTTACAGAACAACTGCCGAGTTCACTCAGGACTGGAAAACCTGTATTCAACTTATTCTCCCCCTTCTACCTCAGTGCTTTCAACTGCAAGCATCTCTCCTCACCCCCCCATATGGGTGCCAGATAAGGTGCTCAAAGTCTTAAAGAGTGCTTTTTATTCCTGTAAACCCTCCAGAACATTACTATCTTGGTAAAAAGGTGCCTCATCTCTTGGTAAATACCAAAGCAGTACTTTGAAAACAGGTATTTCCTTTCAGAACAGCTCTGAAGTGTAGGCTGCTTTGTCTCCATCTCATTTTCAGTACAGCTGCTATTAGGAACAAGAACACCCCACCTTTTCTTTATAAGCTAGTAAGTGTATTTCTAAAAGAGATTGTCTAGTACTTCCTACTTAAGCTCTCATCTATACATCTTGGAAAAAGCTCCCTTAAGAGACAAAGGCAGTTATTTAAAAAACCCCGAGAAGCATAAATCTAACTGAACTTTAGATCTTGACTGTTATTACCCATTCTTGACTCTCTGAAGTCTCACCAAGAGCACACAACTTTTATTTTCGCTTTTCCTATCCACCAAAACCACTCTGTTCTCCAGAATTCTGCAAGCCTAACAAGTTAAAAACTGCCCAGGCACTCCCTAAAAAACTTCAAAGCTTCCATTCACAGTAGTCACAACTGACTTAAACCTAGAACTAGCCATTCCCCACTCAAATAAGAGGCTGTTTTGGTAAGGCAAAGATTTATTTATCAACTTTCATGTATCATGTCAGACCAACTGGTAAGATATTTACACAACAGTTTGAAATACACAGTATTTGCATTTTATACAAGCAACTAAGTGCAGCCTGTAGTAAGTTTTCTACGCAGTATCCAGATACTCCCACTGCTACATAATTCCAGTTAAAAAACAACATCTGTCATGCTTCCACAAGAGTTTCTATACCTGAGAAGTTTCAGTATATCCTTTCAAGAGGAAGTCTGCAATTAAAAGCCACATACATAAGCCTATTTAAAGGATGTCATTCCAGCTGCAAATGATTTACTTCCTCTGAAGCGAGATCTGATATACTCTCCCTTAAGTCACATGATACTTGTGATGGCCCTTCTTCAGAAGGGCTGTCTGCATCATCTCCACAGCTGAGCTCTTCATTTTCTTGTTTGGATTCCTCTAGAGCCAGACTCTCCAGTGTCTCAAGATTGTCAGGTGCTTGCCCAGTTAGCCTCTATAAAGAAACAGAAGACAATGAACTTCATACTTTTGCTACTTCATAGCCAATGGAATAAGACTGTGCATATTAAGCAAACTAATTATCTTCATTTGGAGATTGTTGATATAATTAAAACATTCCGCAGTCACAACAATCTTAGACACTTGAGTTCAACTCAAATTGCTACCTAACTCACAGACCACATCTGCTTTGTTAAGTCTTACTTAGGTTCTTCAGTAGGACAGGTTTTATCTTAGGCAACCTGAAATATGGGAAACAGCTTCCCAATTTAAATATTACTATAGTACTATATAGGTTTAATTTTAGAAAAGTTACTATACAGATTAAGTTCATAATTTTTAATCAGAGATAATGAAGCTACATTAAGTCTAGACGAACTGGAAGACCCAGCAGTTTCTAGCACTTGATGATCAGACTAAAAGTTCCTCATCTAACCTGATCTAAGGAAGAACAGGACTGTTAGAGGCTGCTTTTGAGGCTTCTGGTTGTTTGATGTATCACTTAAGGCTCATTAAAGCCTCAGAAGTGAGCAGCTTACAACTAATAAGTGAACTTAACTGTTGAGGAACTGCAGTTTCCAACTACATTAGTTCTTTAAGTCCTTAAATCATTTCATTTCTGCCTGTGGGTTTGTCACTAACAGGCAGCACTCTGAATAAAAAAAAAATTCAAGTGTAGCAAATTAGTGGAGTCTTTCAAGACTGGTCTAAATAACTGCACTAAGTGAAAATTAACTTGACCAAGTTTGCTTCTTGATTAATCAAGTTGCTTGCAATAGTCTTCCATTTTGTTTCCACTTCCCCAGTCTAATCAGACAATCAAAATATTTGCCAGGCACCGAGCCTCATATCCTAGTTGAAAGCTCAATCCCTACAAAAACAACGTAGGGATAACTTTAGTACCAAGGTTCCATGGCTATATATTTATCACAGCTTCAGAGGCTGTCACAATCTGCTCCTGGTAGAGGACTCATGGAATCAGTGACACAACTACCTGTCCCCCCAAGGACTTCTCAGAGGAAGCTGTTTTGAAATCCACAAGTTTATGAAAGTTTGACTTTGGGCATTAGCCCCTTCTGGGCCACAAAACTGGCAATTCCTCAGTAAAACCTTGACTTTAAAGGGCATAGGTTCTCCATTGTCCTTTCTCCCTCTCACTGCTCCACTTTGTGTCCCTGTTTCAAGTTTAGTTCCTCAAAGGACACAGCTAGTACAAACACTTCATTTAGCCTGCAGCCTCACACAACCTATTACACATTTGAACATAAGTCACCTCAGAAAAGTGAAAATGAACCCTTCCTTCCCTTGTCACCATCTAACATGCAAAGCCTGTTCTGTTAAGACAATAGGTTGAATCTCTCTTTCAGAGAACACCACTCTTAGGACTTCCTCATTACTCCTGCGGGTTCTAAGGTAGAAAAACTCATCCCCTAGAAGGGGCTTTATGCCTCTGGATTAGAGCAATCCTGCAGGAAACAGGTCAAACAGTAATTTAAAATGAAGAGTTTTGTGAGCACACAAAACAAGTCATAATTCATTAAAAATCTTTGCTGGTTTCTCACTTTTTCATTCTACAATATTAACTGAAAATTCCTTTAAGTACCTCAATCATGCTGGTCATATAATGCACATGTTCAGCAAGGGACATTAGCTCTTCATTTTCTTCTTTTAGACGGGCAATTTCACCATCTTTCTGTTCGATTTCTTTGTGCAACTGAGTTCAAACAACAAAATGTTAGAACAGGAAGACAACAGTCAGTGGTAAAGAAGTTAACTTTTACTAGCTACCTTTTCATTTTCTTGAAGCACTTCATACAGAGCCTTCCTCCTTTCTTCAGCCACTTCTTTCCAATATTGAGATGAAGGGCTTCCTGAAGCAAGAAGCTACAGTAAGTCTGTGCTTAGACTGAATTCTTGATCACCTTGAAATACCCAACTTGTATACAAGTGTTCTATACACTGTGACAATAAGAACTTACTCCATATATTGTCTTCCCAGAGATTAGTTGTAAATTTACAACTAGAGACATAAGCTTACAGAAAACAGAGATCCTACATTGCATTAATGGCTATACAGGCAGAGTCTTCAAGAAGCTGCAGTCTGCTGCCATGCTTGAGGCAAGATGGTCACATTTGCAAATGTCAGTCTTAATGTATACTTCATGGAAGACAGAAGTATTATTCCCAAGTCACTGTTTATATGGGGCTTAATGGTTCTGAGAAACTGCACACAGAGCACACTATGCCAAAACAGGGTTTCATTTCAGCTTAATTATTAGCCACTTGAAAGCTCATAGCCAAGCCAAAGTAGCAGACTACAGGACTTCTTAACACTGCTGCACACCATGGTTCTCAGCTACTGGTTACCAAACACTCATTCTTAGGTATCTATACTGTATTTACTATACTACAGAGGATAAGCATCATTAATTCCTGCCAGGCATTACAAAAAAGCACAAAGCCATTATCTAACTGACAAACAAACCATGTTTCAAGTTATATTCCAATGGGAGCACAGCATTTTAAATGCAAGAAAACATTTCAGGAATTACTACATACCTTTTATCATGAGATCTACAGCTTGAACGACATCATTCATATTCTCATTTTCTTGCTCCTTGTCCACAGACACCTCAGCTTTACAAGCCTTTGAGGTGATCTTGTTATTCCAGAGTTTCCTTTTGACCAAAGATTTCTTCTGCATGAAACACAGGCAGGTTTAACTTCAGAGGAACATTTCAGCTTTTTTAAAAATACAAACTTGTAAGTCTGCTCACTCATGACTGCAAAAAAGTCTTTTAAGCCTCGCTTTCTCCACATGACACTTCTAGTTTACAGACATCTTCCTTGATCCCCATATGTTTAACAAAAGAAAAATCATGAACATTTTCCTGAAGTACTTGGAAATTGCTAGGTTTTAATATTGTTTGTTACTAAAATAGTAAGCTTAAGTTGTGTCACACTACTTAGCAGATTATGTGTTTTTTCAAACATATTAGTTTTCAGTTAAAAGCTCAAAAGCATTTCACTATGAGTAGAAATAATTACAAATCTACAGGTTATCTTTTAATTCATACCTCATTACGTCTGCCAACCAGGCAACCTGTTGCTGAAGGCTGAATCATTTTAAGAGTCCGTCTTGGGGCAGCACTACACGTGGTGTCTGTGAGGTACTTCTAAAAAGACAAATATGACTTCAGACAGTTACCACTCTTCTCTACATAAACTGAAACAGGAATTTGTCATGCCTCCATTAAGGTAACCCATGGTTCATTTTTTCAAGACAAAAAGATGATACTTCAGTCTATGTTAAGGCTTCTGTAAAGAAAAGGATCTAGTTATTTGTAACAGAGATGGATCTTAATCACATGAAGCTATGCTCAGACCCTGCCTCTTAGAAAACCCTTACCCTTCATAAAGGAACTTGAACAGGTCTTACAGCAGAAATGTTCTGACTAGATTTCAAGGCCAGTTACAGTGCAGTGACACATCTAAAGCTTAGCTGAAGCTCTCAAAGTTGTATTTGACAACAGCGGTATTAGACTTTGGGGGACAGAGACAAAAGTGACTGCAATTGCAAGTTTATGTGGTAAAGTCACATCATTTCAGGCAGCACCTTTTTTTGTTACCCGTGAACACACCCTCAAGTGGTATTCATTTAAAGATATGTGTTGCTTGATTATCCATTAAAATGGATCTAAAGCTTCCTTGCTTCGATCCAGACAGGCTATTGTTTTGCATAAACAGTATGTTTATCACCTCTCCTGTCATGCATAAATACCTATTTCCTGCATTACAGCTTTCTGATTGGGTTGGTTACAGTGCCACCATGGGATAGCAAACAATGGCAGACTACCAAGCAAGAACAGCCAAAATACCATGCCACACCGGCGTGAGAAAGTTACCGATTCACACTATACTTCATATGACGAGAGTTCGCCTTTCCCACGGTAGTTTCTGCCACCAATTATCCTACTGTTGAACTAAAGGACAAACACTAACTCCTGTGGGAACAAGAATCACACCGTGTGTCAGACACTGCTTGCTGCTATTGAAGGTTAGAGGTAAAGTTTACATTGCCAAGAGCTTATTGACTAATACTTGAGTTAACCCACTGAAAGTGCAAAAAGCCACACTGAGGAATTTATATCCCAGAGTCACTACAGGAGCAGATTACCATGTGTATAAGTCAGACTTATCAATTAGCTATTTTCATTAATACCAGAAGTTTTCATTACAATCACTCTGTCCTTCATGATAGAGGCTACTAGCCTCTATTTTTTATGGTGTTTGTACAATTCCAGTTAGGGCCTACATTAAAAGGTTTAACAAAAGAGTCTTGTAACAAGACTGGAATAGGTATAAACCTCAGTAACTTCTTACCAGTCACCTCTTGAAAACTTAAATCCTTTAAGCATTTCCACGAATTCCAAGACAACTATGGTTCATGAGGGTGACTTCAGAAACAGAACTGCCTATGTGAATACTTCAATTAAAGCATGCTCAAGTCAAGACAGATTTAACTTTTATTAAGTTCATCCCTATAAAGGGCAGGCTACACAACCTACTCTACAACCCCTTAGCAGCCAGACTGATTCAGTAACTGAACTAAGGCAGGTATCCAGCACCTAAAAAAAGAATCACATGGAAAGACAGCAAGCTCAGTGTCAAAGTAAAAAGGACTTGCTGAGCAATAAAAGTATTCACATAAGCACATATGCCCAAGCAGGACAGGGTGTTCCCCAGCCACACTGCCTGCCAGGAGGTTACTCAAGCCAACAGGACATAAGCCAGGTGGAAGCACATTGCAACAGATCCCTTTGTATTCCATCAATGGATATAAAACTTGTGTCAGGCAGAGGGACCATTTCTCAGAGAACTGAGCACAAGCCTCAGAACAAAGCAAATTCTGTCTTTGATATACTCTTGATATATTTCATCTTCTATTTTCTGTCCCTTATCTGCTGCCATATTCTAGCTCCCAGACTTTAAAGCCTATACCTGCAAAGATCCTGATGATTTTTCCGCATTCGGTTTCTGTTTCATTTTGGGATTCATAGGATCACTGCAAAAAAACAAGTAAAAATTAATAACATCCGCCTGCAACTGAAGTTCAGGGACACCAGTTACGGACTACTACGACTTCAGTTTATCAACTTTTATGGCAGCATTAAAAACTCAGTCACGAGCCGCGTGGCCAGCAAGCTCCTCCAGAGCCCGC